ATTTTATTGTGTATTAATTATTTTATTATCATTAGCTACATACATATTTTTTTATAAACTCCTAAATTTTTTTATTACTTTAATTACATTATTTATTAGTAATGAAACCTAATTTCTAAATATGTTAAGAATTTAATGTCACATGTTAATATTATTAACATATTAATAAGATACAAAGATGGGTTGAGTTATCCAAATATATCATAAAAGAGAAACTATGTTTTTATCGTCATATGAGTCTTTCAGGATCAAAGTGGTCATCAAGTTTGGATATGTCCTGCGTGTGGTAACCAGGATGATGGATCACCTATGGTTGGTTGTGATGATTGCGATGCATGGTATCATTGGTAAGTAAATGTTAATAAAACAATAATTATTTGAAGTTATACTATATATTTTAAAAAATACTTTTTTTTGATAAATATAAATAAAATATTTTTATCTTTTTTTGATATAAAATTGATATAAAACATTTAGAAATATTAAAAATTTAATTGTTACATATTTTTTAATATTATTTTCCATTTTATAAAAATCTTATATAAATTAAAATACCATTTATGTTTATATATTTTAAGGGATAAAATACAAATATGAAGCTGTAGTTCTCATATTAGAAATAGTAAAATCACATATCTAAACAAATTTTAATCATTCAAATTATTTTTTTTAACTACAATTTCTCATTTTTTTTCAATAATTTTTCAATTTTTCTTTCAAATACTTTATCCTTTTATGTTAAATGCTTTTTTTGTTTCCTTTCCTTTTTTCATTGTTTCTTTTTTTTTTAGAAAACATCAAATTACATTCTGAAATAAAATATTAAAAATTTAAAAATCTTTTTCCAACTTCAGACTTATTAGATTTATCTTTTGAACTTAAGTTATATATTTTCAATCATCTAGGGTATGTGTTGGTATGCAAGTACCACCAGCTGTCAATGAAGATTGGTATTGTCGTTCCTGTATAGCCAAAAAGCAAGAACTTCATCATGATAAAAAGAAGAAAAAAAGGAAGAAGAAAGTGAAAGTTTCTGCCTAGTACAAGCTACCCGGGTCTTGTATAAGATCCGGTATAGCAATTCAAACTACTACCAAAGTTAAAAAAAACAGCAAACTTGGTGTGAAGAATATAAAAAGCAAGAAATTGTCGAAAACAGAAATGAAGTTACAAATGAAATCGTTGAAAGAAAAATCTGTACCAATCAAGACAAAAGCTGGAAAGACTATCATGAAAGTTAAGACTGTAAAAAAAAAAGGTAAAAAGTTGAAAGATAGTGCAATTTAATTAACTTAGAAAATCTTTTGTAATAATTAACATAAATTTATTATTTTATTTTAACACGTTGATAGCTAATTGAAAAAATAAATTTTGTATTATATTAATTTTTGTAACGATATATTCTTTTTATGATAAAGAGAATGTATAATATTCAAATTACGCTAATACACTAACAATGTAATATAACAATGTATTGATAAAGTTTAAAAATGATTTAAATTTTTGAACAAGATTGAGCTTTTAAAAAAATAAATGTTCGTTCAGTTTGCTTTTGAATCTATATAAAATAATTAATAATTGCTACAAAAGGATAAGATTTCTTTTAAATGATTTTATTTTAGAGAAAAATACAAAATTTAAATATTTCTGCACATGTTTAATTAAATATTTATCTTCATTATAATATTCATTATAATATTCAATTTATTATTTTTAAAAATGATTGAGTTTCACGAATACCTAAGTAGTTATATCATAGATAAATTTTATTTTATATATACTTTTTCAAATTATTAAATTATTAATACAAAAGGCAATGATCACTAAAAATACTTATTCTGACAGATATTCTTGATTTTATATAATTATATTATATTTAATATTAAAGTTCACATAATAATCCATCTACAAATAATGTCTATATTTTTTGAATTTCATATTCATTTTAATTTAAAATATATTGTACAAAATATATTAATTAAATCACGTTATATTGTACCATTGAAATATTTAAATTTCACTGGTTTTTATAAAAATTATTTGTATATATTACTAAATAAAATACATAATATTAAATGTTATATTCACAAATTTTCATAAAATTTAAAGAAATATTATGTTTCTTTTTAGGCACTAAAATATAACGTAACATATATAATATACAGTATATAAAAATACAAATATAAACACACATTATGTATAGCAGTCAACGTGTTAAAACTAATAATATAAAATCAAGCAGCAAGATTCTATTTTCTTTTATTAAAGCAATAGATTCTGCATAATATATTGTATACATTTTTTGACTTAAATTTAATGCATCCTAATTATTCCTTAATACATTATAATTATAAACCATTGTAATTATAATTATAGAAGAATTTGTTGAATTTGCATTTTTTTTTATTTTGCACTAATAACATTAACCCTTGCAACTGTAATTATTTTTATAATTTGTAAATAAGAAAAGTGTTTCATGCGTTTATTGTTTCTAAGTAATTGTCAAACTTATGATGCATGACATGTACGATATAAAATATATTTTTTATAGAAACCGCATTGCTTATCACATTGATACTTATATAGATAGATTTACTCATTTTATAAACTGATAAAAATCACCTAAATGAATAAATCTACCTATTCAGTTGACAATAAAAATATTGATGAATATTTATATATGATATAATTTAATTATTTTTGCTTATAATAATTATTTGCATTAGAATTTAAATATTATACATAAAGATATCATTACAAAATATAATTACATAAATGAGTCTCAATGTGATAAGAACAAACATTTAGTCAAATAAAAATAAAACAGTATGATTTAAGAATTATATTTATTTATTGTACTAAATTAAGTTCTATTTCATTACCACGTGATTTTTTTTTTTTTTTTATTTAAATATTAGATGATAAATTTCAGGAATTTCTATATGTACGTAATACAAAAGTTGTTAGGGTTAATTTTAATATCATATGAAAAAATGTAAAAAATAATGTATTAAATATTGTTATTCATGATTCAGATATATTTTTTCTTTTGTCATTACTGGGATGCGGATTTTATGTATTTATGAAAAACTGGAAATTGCAAAAATATATACACAATGCACATAATATACAAAAATATCTAAAATAGAATATATTATAATATATTGATGTAGATCAAAGAAATTTTGTTTAGCTTCTATTTCTCTAGCAGTGTTTATAAAAATTTTAAAACAAAATCCGCATCCTAGTTATTACATTGAATATTATAAATATGATAAAAATTGATAAATGGAAATTAAAATTAATTACAAAAAATAATTACATAATATATTGTACCTTATAGTTTTATATTATTAATTAAAAAATGAATAATGATATTATAATAATAATGATGATGACATAGTCGTAATATAATGAATAGATTTCAAAGTGATTGAATTTGTAACGAAGAAAAATATAAAATTAAATTGTATTAGATATTTTTAATGTCATAAGGAATTAAGAATCATGAAGAAAATAAATGTAAATAAATTTTTATACATGATAATTATATATTTCATGTAAATCATTTTTATTGTAGTATAGAATCATTACTTATAAATAATTGAATAAAATTATTATATACTTGAAAACAGTTTACAAGATGATACATGATAAAATACTTTATATATTTGAAAACAGTTTACAAGATCAAATCAAAATTTAAATTTGAATATCCTCTATATTAATTTATTACTATAAGCGAACAAGTACCTATTTTTTCTAAATATATATACAGAATATGGAATCATAAAGTTACTAAATTAATTTTGATTTAGTCTATTTTTATTAAAATATATTTTTTTTTATTTTATTATAATTAAATATATATATATATATTTTTTATTATAATAAAATATATAGTCATATATAAATATATAAGTAACATCTTATTTTTTATACGTATGCAAAATAAAATCTTATAAAATATATTATAAAATAAAATTTTATAATATGTATAAAAATCTTTCATTATTAAATTTTATAATATGTATAAAAGTCTTTCATTATTATGCATATTTAATGCTTTGTCAAATAATTAAATCTAATAATTTTAATAAATTTTAATCTAATTAAAAGCATTTAGTAAATACTCAAACTCAAGTTTCCTTGAATTGAATTAAACACCATATAATATAATAAGATATTGATAAATAATTATATTTATCAATATTCCTAGTTGAGACTATATTAAATCAATATTTACTAATTTATGACGTATCAACATCGCCATTGAATATATAGTCTTAAGAACAGCTGTCGATTAATAGAAAAATGGCGACTTACGTAATTACATTAGCGGCAACTAGATTGTAATTTTAAATTTTAGTTTGAGGAAAAATGACAAAATCTATGATGACATTATTACTATTTACAATTAGAAAATCTTGTAATTGATTCGTTTAATAGTAATTAATTTCTTATATTAACGAATGTTTATTTCATTAAAATACAAATATATATACTTTCGTATAATCTTTTATAACGAAAAAAAAAAAAAGAAAAATTATAAAGAGATGTATTCTGTTCAGATTATACTTGTACCATTTTAAAATTTATACCAATCTTTAGAAAAACTAATTATAAATTTAAATCGAAAAAAATTACAACTTATAAAATTTAAATCAAATTTTAAAATAATTTTAAAGTTACCGGTGATATATATGCACATATATATATGTATGTATTCATAATAATGTGAATCACTTCAATATTACGCATAGTATTTTATATTTAAATGCTGATTATCATTCGTCGTAAAATGTGAGAATTATAGTTCTTTATAATCAAAAAATCACAGGGAAAATAAGATTGGGGATCGAAGATTCCAATGAATAAAAATGTTCATGATACCTCTAAATTCACTGGTCTTACCCCTACTCTTCAACCGATTTCAGACGAATAGAATAAGGTCTATTCAAAAGGCGGCTAAGAAATATCCAATCAAATGTTGCGTAGTATCGTTATGTTCAGGACGTCGCTCACTGAATCAAGATGGCATCCGAGACTGGTACAAGTATCGTGTCAAACGAACGGTGTGATGTAAATAATACGATTCAGCAGATATTCGAACCATTGCAAACGGAAACAACCAATGTAAAAGTATCGAGAACAACGTGGAATAGTGTTATTAAAGAGACAAACAAATTTTCGGACAATTTCGCTTTACATTCAATTAGGACGCCCACGATTTTCTCTACAGCGTCATCATTTAATACAAACACGGAAGAGGACGAATTACGAAGGAACGTGAATTTCATGAGCTCTTCTGGTGATGTGGAGGAACGTATTAGTTTTAAAATTGCCGTCAATACTGAATTACATACATCATCCTTGGAATCGTGCAGCATGTCCAACCAAAGGAATGATCTGGATACTGCCTGTATTTCTGAACAACCAGACGGTAATATCGTTCAACTTTATTTAATATTATATAAATATACTTGAATTCTTATATTAATTTTATTTAAAAAAATAACACACTAAGAAACTATAATGTAAAACATGTGTTTATATTTATGTTGATGAAACTATTGTTTATAGTTATTTTAATAGGTTATTACGACGATAGAAATTTTAATAAAATTTTAATAGATATTTACATGTAATTGAAATTAATTTAATAATATTTATTGATAACTATTAAATACTGAAAATATATTTTTATCGTGTAACATATCTTGCATAGTTATCCTAAAAATAAAATACTTATTCTTTTACATAAAAAAGATATATAACTGTATGCAATCATTAGTTAAGCTAAAAATTAAAATTATATTTTAAAATAAACATTATACATTATAGGGAATCCAGATCATTGCAATAATGAATTAGTGAAAACTTTAATTGAACCAGTTCAGCATGCTATTCATGTACGTATATTTATTATTTATGTTTGTGAATTTCATATGAAAATAATACTAAATGACAAAATTTTTTGGATTGTTATTAATCAAGATTCGTAATTATTTATTAGGTTGATTTAGCATGTAATAAAGATACAACAGTATCTAGTGGGATACACACATTGTCAACAAAATTAGAAGGATGTGTAAATTTTGAACATGGTAACACACCTCAGTTAGGAGAAAGTCCTCAAAGTAATGGTGAAGTAATTAGTAGTCCAAGAAGTCCAGATTATCCTCCAAGAGTTTCTGATGGACCAAATAGTCCAAATATAACACTTCCTAGTAGTATGACATCGCCAATTATGACCTCGACTATTATGATGGATACAGCAAAATATGATGCAGAAAATATAAATAATTTAACTACTAAAGTTTGTAAAAATCTTTCTTACTCATTTTGTGGACAATTGGAGAAAATTGAAGAAGTTCCTGTTATGCATTCAATTAAAGAGGAAAAAGATAATAAAATGGACACAATTCACAGGGATGTAAAATCAGAACTTGTCGAAGTAAAGACAGATGTAACAGATACTCAAGAACAATTAAACATAATTAAATCAGATTGGGTCAGTGATAGTACTACGACAATAGTTGGAAGAACAGATGCTGTATTATCTCAAGATAAATCAATAAATTGTATTAGTACTACAACTTCGAGTTCCCATTCTAAATCATACTCATCTTCAAGAGAAAAACGAAGTAAAGAACATAATGAAAGACGTTATTGCTCACGATGTTATAAACGGAGTAAAATAAAACGAGCAAGTATTGGTGTACAATGTAAACGAGATCGTAGTATAGTTCCATTAAACAGTAAGCCAATGTCTCATCCATTTCCAAAATCAACAAATGAAAATCTCAGGTTAAATTTACAAACAAAGAATTATAAAATGCTTCACAATACACCAGTTAAAAGTGAATTATTAGATGGCCTAAAGTACAAGAAATTCATTCACATAGAGACTTATCCTAATGGTGGTGCAACTGTTGTACATATGTATCAAGATGAAATTGATACATTATCTTATGAACAAGTAGAGGAATTAGCTCAAGAATATTTCAAAGTATGTAAATACAAGTTAATAATATATTAACTTAATAATAATTATTTTCAATAATTGAAAATTGTCAAATTAATATAAATACTTAAAATAATCATATTTTAATACTGTTTTACATGTATTACACTTATTTTTAAAAGATTATTTATTAATGCCATTAAAATTGATGAACTCATATAAATTATGTATATAATTATATACATAATAAGCAAATTATATGTTATAGGTAGTTTTTGGAGAAGATGAAAATGGTAATGCGTATCATGTTATGGGAATAGTACATAATGCTGCTGCATATCTTCCTGATCTTTTGGATTACATGGCAGATAATTATCCTACATTGACTGTTAAAAATGGTGTATTAGGAAGAAGCAGTGATATAGAAACTACAACTATGGTACAGTACAAAGAACAAGTGTGTAAAGCTTATAGTAATGGTACTGTTAGATACGGCCCTCTCCACCAAATAAGTCTTGTAGGGACTGTTCATGAAGAAGTTGGTGGATATTTCCCAGATCTTTTACAGAAATTAGAAGAAAACCCATTTTTAAAATTAGTGAGTATTGATTTTATATTTTAGTTTAAACAAATGTAGATAATTTAAATTTGTTATAAAAATTTAAAATAGAATATATTTTTTGATTACTTATACATATTATTCTTGAAAAAAAATTTTTAAATATAAAATCACTAACATAAAATTATGATGTTAAATTATGATATTGTGATTATTTTACTTCAATCTAATGAAATGACCAGATTTAGCAATTATAACAGATAAATAATTACACATAATTTTAGACAAGTAAATGATGGAAAAAGTATTTATCATTTTAATTTTTTTATGAAAATATTTGTAATCATTTCTGAATTCATAAATACATAAAAAAAGGAACTCTTAATTCTTATGTCAAACGTGTACAAGATGGTACAAATATTTTTGAACAGTAATTTTGTTTAAAAATATTTAACTTTTTGTCATTTATTAAATGAGCAATCTATCAATAATAATCAGTATAATCAATAATCTATTATTTTCATTAAGTATTTTGTACAGGTTTTTTGGTATAAAATTCAACGTACATCTAATTTTGTGTTCAATGACCATTAGTAGATACTTGCAAATTTTCATTAATTTAATAATACATATTTTCAATAAAAATAAGATATAAATATGTAGGATATTAGTTAGTAGGATGTTTTTTTTAAATAGTACATTATATGTAAATATTGTACGAATCGAAAATGTTTTTAAAATTTTGATGTATCAATCTGAGAAAATAATACATTTTATTTAAGGGGTAAATTAAAACAATTATATTAGAATTGTAATGCAGTTACTATAAAAAAGGAATGAATCATATAAGTATATAGTCAATATAAATTTGCATTTAAGAAAAATTTAAAATTTGAGACATTATAATAAATATGATTAACATTAAATTTTTTTTTAAGTATTTTCATGTTTTTTCAATTTGTTTTATTTAATACTTGGTAAATCTATTATTTGAGATTCATTATCATATAATGTCAATTCCTATTATTGACAGATTGTTTGAGTATTATTTTCTGTTTTTTGTTCTTTTACATTGCAATTAAATTCAAAGTTTTTGTTTTAGTCATTTTGTGTCAAGTTTATCATAAAATTAAGTTTATCTTCTTAAGTTAAACTTCTACTGCTACTTAGTTGGAGTATTTTGTTATTTATTTATTTATTTTGTATCTTTTGTAATTTCTTTGCATATAAATATTATGTATGTTATTGTTATAAAATTATTATAAGAAATTGCATTTGTTTAGGTTTGTCTCATTTCTTTTATTTGCAAGCCATATTTCTACTTTTGAAGTGTGATTTTACTTAAAAATCTGTGTGTAACATAGAAATATGGTCTTATTATAAATAAATGTAAATATTTTTCTGTTTATTGTAATCAAGATATCAGCTGTGTATAATATCTAATGTGTAATTGGATCTAACATTCTTTTTTGCAGGATGTCTTTTATTAGTGACAATTCTTTGATTTTTATTACAATAGTTATTGGTTAACTATAATTTTTAGGTTTAAAATTTGTCTGGAAAAGAGAATTTTAATAATTTGAAGGAGTTCCACATATCACATTTTATTAGAAGCGTTTTTATGTTCATAGAAATAGCTCTAGTGTATTGTTTATCCTCTAGTGTAGCAACTATTTAATTTATTATTTTGTATATTTATTTAATGGTTGAATGCTTATTTTTGAATCCAAACTGATTACTATTTGGAATTAGACTTTTTTCTTCAATAATAAGTTTCAAAGAATTATAAATTTCCATGATTTTTATTATTGTTGGTAGAAGTAATATTGATTATTGAACCTGAGCAGATCTTTAGTTAATTTAAGTAACATTGTTATTTGTATTATTTTCCAAAAACTTGGGAAATATTGTAATCCTAACATTGTTCCAACATCTTAATCGTATCATTTTTTATAATATTTTAAGATTTCATCAATAGTGATATAGTCAAGGTTCCTTGTTGTTCTTAATGATTTCTTTAACTTTGTTTTTGATTGTGTAAGATGTGTAAGATGTGTATTTATCAGGTGAGAATTAATATCATCAAAAATATCATTAAAATGATTAATCCGTCATTTTATTCGCATTTTATTCACATTTAATAGCTATTAAAGAAATATAAATATTATACAGTTAGCAAATATTTTAATCTACTCTCGACCATTCTTTTTGATTGTTTTATTGTCTTCTTTATTTTTTTTGTTTCTACAACGAATAATTAGTATTTTTATATGAAAACAGTAATTCCAGATATTTTGTAAATTATTTCATTTTTTTATTTCTGAATGTTTTGTGTTTCTGCCATTTTGCTTTTACTTTTTTTTTTCTTTCTCTTTGATTTTGATTTCAGATAATATTGATACAGTATATTACTATTAATTTAACAACACTAACTATTCATGTAGCTTGTAGTTTATATAGAAATAGATGTTTATATAGAATTAACATTATTCTATAAGATCGCTTTGCTACTGTATTATGTCTGAGTTTAAAAGATTATTACTTATTTATTAATTTAGTAATACTGATATCTTTGGTGATTGTAAAATTTATTTGGAATTTTATTAAGATCTACTAATGAATTGAATACTCGTCTGGTATTAGTAAGATCTACTAATGAAATGAATACTCGTCTGGTATTAGTATATTGAGATTTTTACTTATATATGCTTTGAATATTTTTTTCTACTAGGTGGATAGAATAGATAGATTCTTAACGTACATAATAGATTTATGCTATGTACTTATTGTTTAGTGAAGCTTATACTATACAAATATATATAGATTTAAAATGAGCTACATTATTTGTTTAGAAATTGATTGTAGTTATTTGATTGGCTTTTGATTAATTGGCCATGCATATGATCTTTTATTTAATTGTTATTATCCTGTAACTGAGTTTTTTGTAATAGATGATTAGTTTCATAGATAGTGCAGTACAGAGTTTTTATTTTATAGTGTATTTCAGAAATTAATTATATTATTTATAAATTATTAATTTTATAAATATAGAAATATTCGAGTTTTTAATATTCCTTTTTGTAGTTTATATAGTCCTCCAAACTGCTATTTTTATAATGTATTGTTTATATTCAAATTAATATATTAATAGATAATTGTACTGTATAAGATTTATTAAGTTTGCTTTTATTCTGTTATTATTTTTGCTAGGATTTTTATATTTCTTATGGATTGTTCTTTAGTAGTTCTTTAACTTCTATCAATTTTGGCTGACTGATGTTTGGTGGAAATAAATTTTTTTTATGCCAATTTTCATTGATTGATTGATCTCAAAGTGAAGAAAGAGTTTTTTTTGTTTTAACTATTTTCTTAGTACACTATCTTTATAACTGAATGATTTCTACCATTATTGTAATATTTCACTTTGATTTTTCCTATTGTGAGCAATCAGTCAATAAATAAATTTGCACATTTTATATATGAAATTCTGTTGCAATAATTTTTTTTAATGCATTGCTTTTATCATAGTAATTAAATATTTAATATTTTGTTAATTTTAAAAATTTCTTTATTATTAGTACTTCATACAAATTCTACAAGAAATAATATTAATGACTGCTTTGTATTAGAGGTAAATTTCAGGTTCGGGTCGGGCTTACACAAAGTCGGGTGGGTTCGGGCGGGTAGCCCGACGATTTCGGATCGAGTTGGAAAAAGTTCAAGGGGGATAGGATCAGAGGTGGGCATTATTCGAATTTCGAATAAATTATTCGATATTTACGAATAACGATTTTATTTGAACAAAGCTTATTCGAACACACAATTATTCGAATTGGGCATTATTCGAATAACATTTCGAATAAACTCTTCGAATAACATTTTATTCAAAATATTTACTGAAATAATGTAAAGAAAAAGAGTCAGGAGTCCTTTCTTCACAATTTTGGTTTATTTAATAAATTTGCCTTTAGTACAATTTTTTGTTGGAACATTTTGTTAGTTAATCTGTTTGCTTTAGGCGAGTTTGTTGTCGTTGCAAATAAAAACAAACTCTCTACTGGAGCAGAAGATGGCGAAGGAGTGTTATATTTCAAAAATATATTTTTAATTATGGTACATGCGTTCAGAGATGTGTAATCATTTCTATTATCTGTAAAATGTGTAGTACAATTTCTACGTAAATGTTGGTCGGTTGAAGTAGATTCCGCTTTATTAAATATTAAAAGCAAAACAAATTTATTAAATAAACCAAAATTGAAAAAAAGTACTCCCAACTCTTTTTCTTTACATTATTTCAGTAAATATTTTTAATAAATTTATTCGTAAATTTATTCGTAAATATCGAATAATTTTATTCGGAATGTTGTACGAATAAAATTTTATTCGAAGAATTTATTTGAAACGGTGTTCGAATAAAATTTTATTCGAATAATGTCCAACTCTAATCCTATCCCCCTTGAACTTTTTCCAACTCGATCCGAAATCGTCGGACTACCCGAAATTATGTTACATATTATGAAATTATGTTACATATATTTTTAAATTTGGTTTTCTCAGAAATTAAATCTTTAATAAAAAATGTCGTATCTTTTTTTTTTAATTATTTTATAAGGAATGATTTTGTACTCACTTATATTACTTTATAAGCTAATATAAGACTTATATAAGTGGTATTTTTTTTACTAGTTCCTATAGTATAGTAAAATTATAATTTTATGTTTAATTACAATTTGTTTCCAAAAACTATTAATAAGCGATTAAAATATAAATACAGTCAGATCTCAATAATTTAAATCTTAAAAGAAGGAAAAAATCTTCAAGTTATAGAGGTTCGTCTTATTAAGTTTTTGAGTAAAAAATAAGGATTGCTCCTTATATATTAATATTATTAAATATTTTGTACAGTCAAGAGTGAATTTGTTTATATAATAATATCAAATTCTTATTCCTTTTTGTTTTAGACTATGCCTTGGGGTCCATTATCTGTTGTAAAGATGGATACTCCTCAAGAATCAAACGATGGTCCAATTTTATGGATTAGACCAGGTGAACAATTGGTTCCAACAGCCGATATAAATAAAAGTCCTTATAAGCGGCGCAGAACGGGCATTAACGAGTTACGGAATCTACAGTATTTGCCACGTCTTAGTGAAGCTCGTGAATATATGTTTGAAGACCGTACTAAGGCTCACGCCGATCATGTTGGTCATGGATTAGATAGGATGACAACAGCAGCAGTTGGTATATTAAAAGCGGTTCACGGTGGACAGGCATCGGAGTATAACAGAATTACGAAAGATGTTGTAGCTTTTTATGCTGGCGATTTTCCTGAACTAGTCGAAAAATTACAATTAGATCTTCACGAACCACCAATTTCACAATGTGTACAATGGGTTGAAGACGCCAAATTAAATCAGTTACGTAGACAGGGTATTCGTTATGCTAGAATAAATTTATATGATAATGATATTTACTTTTTACCGCGTAATATAATTCATCAATTTAGAACGGTTTCCGCAGTTTCAAGTATTGCATGGCATGTCAGATTAAAACAGTATTATCAAGAATCGCAGCACAATACAAGTGTTAGGCATGGACGGGTTGGAAATGAGCGTATAAAAGAAAAGAAACCATTGGAAACTGTGAATATAGGAGATGAACAGAAAGAAAATACAAATCGTCAACGTATAGAACAAAAACATTCTGTTGATTCGCTTGAAGAGAAAAAAGCAAAAGAAAGAGCTGCTGAATATCAAGGAAATTTAAAGAAGTCAGATCATCATGGAAAACGTAAAGAGGATCGTAAGAACAGAGATCATTCAAGACATTCTTCCATTTCAAGTAAAAGAAAAGATTCTATAGAAAATAATGATAACTGTTCAGATCTTTTTAATAATAAATCTACAAAAACTAATATAATAGAACAAAAACAAAATATTGAAAAGAGAGACGATAAGAGATCTGAAAGGAGACACGAAGAACATTGTCGATCAAATGAAAAATCCAGTCATCATTCACACAGTAGTAGTAGCAGCAGTAGCAGCAGCAGCAGTTGTAGTAGTAGTAATAGTAGTCATAAATTAGATCATAATCGAAGTCATCATAGTCGATCCAGCACCACATTGAGAAAAGAAAAAATTTCAAATGTCACAGAATCTAAATCGACAAGTAAATTCAATCCCTCGGGATCTTCATCGAAAGAAAAAAGACGATTGTGTCCGTCAGAAGTTTGTTTAGAACATGAAAATTCTGATTGTAATGCTGTTATTCTTGAACAAAATGTATTAACACAAAGACAGTTGGTAGCGAAAACTTATGCAACAGAAGTTGTTGACAAAGCTTTAGAAATTGCAATATACAAATCAAAGACTGACGTAGAAGAAGTCTGTCAATCTTTACGAACCGGCGTTGCAGAAGCTTCTAAAGAAATTCTACAAAAAATTCATTCAGAAAGTATTGAAATTGCTGAATTGAAGTACAAAGATGATAAAATAAAACTAGACCGATATTGTCAATTATTGGAAATAGAAACTACATTGGCATTCACATCGAAGATGGAATGTGCAACTGAAAATGCAGTGAAAGCATTAATTGAAATGGCTGAGGATGAAGCAAAAGAAAGATCAAAAAGTGAAAAAGTTTGTATGTTGACCAGCGATAACACATGTGAACGAAATTTACTACCAACGTCAAAAATTACCTCTTCTTCTATAGTCTCTACGTCTCCTTTAACAGAAACCGAGAGACACAATAGTAGAAACGGTAGCGGTGATGAAAATTCATCTAAACTAACATCCGATGTACATACAGTATATACAGAACCACCTAGACGGAAGCATAGAGATGATAAAAGTTCCAGAAATCAGCGACATAAAGACAGAAGAGATCGAGACAGGCGTGATAGAGAACACAAGAGACATCATCATCGAAGTCCTTCGTATAATAAATCTGAGAATAAAACAGGAGAAACTAATAACAAAGAAGATTCATTGAAGATTATCTCACTGCCCAAAGATTGTAACATTTCTAATAAAAGTACCGATAAAGATGGTGATAAGAAATTGGAAAAAAGAAAAGATGGACATCACAGTCATGGAAAAGATGGACAAAGAAAGTCATCTAGCAATCGTTCATCGAAAGATGACACAGCGTCAAGTCGTTCTCATTCATCAAGTTCAAATCATAAAAGAAAGTCGAGTTCATCCGAAGAGCATAAAGAGTCAAAAAAGACGTGTTTCGACAAGGATATAGTCACAACAACAGCAGCAACAGCAACAACAACAACAACAACAACAACAGAAGAAAATACTCTCGATACAACATTAACTCTAATAACAGTAACAACAGTGGCTCAGTCAACAACAACAAATACTGTTGTATCTACGTGAAAAGGTGAAAATTATCTTAAGCTGTAGTACAATCTGCTTATTAGACATGAAAGTCCGCACAATCGAGCGCATATGCCGATAATCTTATGTGTGTGGATTCTAACTGATTTGGATATAGTAAATTTACATTGTATGTTTGAATTTACAGAAATATGAGACGCATACCAAAATACCAAGTATCAGAAAAATATATCAGATGTCTTCAAAATAGAAATAATTGCCACATTTTATGCAAAGTTCAGTTAGTACTATTACTAACGCAGAACTTGCTACATTATCATTTCCATACAATTCTACATGCCTTAGCTTAGGAAGAAAATTGAAACTGTAAAAGTAGTATTATTGTGTAAAGGTACTTTCTAATATTAATATCGCAAAAATTATTTTGCTATAAAATCCCTAAGCGTCTCATATACTGTTAAGAGTGGAAAGAAGATTAAATAAATATTTATAGACTAGGTGACCAATACGATATATGTACAAATGAAATTTGTACAAATTTGTGATTAGACATTCAATCGTCATTAGTGCTGTACATTGTATATAGATTAATACATTGCTCTATTCGAATTTGTGCAGCAAATCTTATTTGAACTGTATACATATGTACATATATAAATGTATGTGCATACATATGATTTTATACATGTATGTGCACATATTGCGTGTGCAGTTGCATGCGCGTATATGCGTGAATGCATGCGTATATGTACGTGTGCCCGTGAGTATTGTATGCATGTGTATATGCTGTGTATGCTGTGTGTACGTATGCATGTGTATATATGAATATTTGGAAGATAGAAATGTAAATTATTTATGGTTATATTGAATATTCTCCACAAGTTAAAGATTTTTATTTACTTCAAAATTTCACTTCCTTTGTTTAAACAAATAAATTAAAAAATGGAACTTGATAGTCGGTCTAACAAAAAATTATTTTGACACTTAAACTACTTAAATTTCATTTTAATGATGAAAAGAGAAACTATATCTTATGTAATAGTTATTAAATGAAAAAAAAATATTATAACGTTCTACCAAAAGTTGTACATTAATAGAATTACACGCGTATTTTTATTTCTCCTACAAAAAAGTCTAATTATCGTAATGTATTTTTGACGAAACTATGTTAAGTGCTAGCTTTTTATATTTAAAATAATTTTATTTATGCGAAAAACTCGATGAAGATGGGCTTCGATAACAAACTCGATGTATATGTATATTTAATCTTGTGTCATATACATACGATTAATATTTAGTTTGATTAGTAATCGATACAGCGAATTGTTGCAACAACAAATCATAATACTTTCTGCACTCTGTTAGATGTATAAAAAAACAACTTGCCTTTCTAAATGAAAGTGCCGGTAAGTGACCGCGTAGATTCGTGCATACAAAACATTATTTAACAGTAGAAACTGTTGTAAAAAATCAATATTCGTACAAGTTAATATATTAATATATTCTGTTCTATAAAAATTATAATTGGCCTATTTAACTTTATTTATATATAAAATTAAACATTATAATACTAATTCTCGGAAATTTCAATTTATTATTATTTGTAATGATAAAACAGTAGAAAACAAAAGAATATTCGTATGATTTGTACGATTTTTTTAGACAAAGAAATTTTTTTCATTAAAGTAATAAATTTTTTACAAAATAGCATTTCAGGTAAAGTTATATAATAATTATCACTATAGGAATAACGTTTGCTGTCATATTTTCTGTTTTATTCTTTTTTGTTCCATTTACATTTTAATTTGTTTTATGTTTCGAAGAAAAATTCGTATTAATCGTTGAATATTGTAGAATTTTCGATCACGGTTTCCATTTGCCAACTTTGTTTCCAATAAAAAATAAAAAGAACTAATATGCAATATATTTTATAAAACAGAAAACAATACTATTTAAATAATTTTGAATATTTTCTTTAGTTGATTATATGAAATGCGTTTTGATTATGTGAATTTATTTATTTATTAAGTAAAAGCTTGAAATTTTAAATACACTATATTTTATGAAATATTCAGAATAGTTTGTGTACATTTTATCTTTCAAATACTTTACGTTATCAAAAGTCTGCTGTTTATAACAAACTTATATTATTTTATAATATTCCTTTATATTCTCTCTTGTTCTTTTCTTCCACATATCAGTGTATACCGTACTGATTACGTTATTATTTCAAAACTGTTGCGAATATCTTTTAAAAATTTTAAGTTATTTCCTATTATTTTATATATATTAAACTATAGATAATAATATCAATGACATTTACATGTCAGTTATTGTTAAGAATATTACTCAGTAATTAAGTTATATTTATATGATATACTAAATTCGTACATGATATTAATATATGTACTAGTTTTGTTTTCAAAAATTCTCAGATTTTAAAATCCTTAAATTCATTTAGCTGTAAAAATATTTTTTACATGCCTGTATCATGTGGTAATTTTATTTCTTCTTTTTTTATTTCTATTTTAATTCAACATTAAATGATTCAAAATTTTTTACATAACACATTAAATCGTAATACAGTAATAAAAAATATCAAAATTAATACTAATTAATGTGTTAGAGAATGTGTAATAATAAAAAGAATTGTATTAATTACATTTTATAAATAATATTAATACTTTGTAGATAAATCAAGAATATTTTTCAAAAGAGTAAGCGATCTTATTTTTATGAAATAATGCAAATACAAATGTTCTTTTAAGCAATCCTGCTAGAATAATATTTACGTAAAAAAGACGAGTCAGAAAAAATAAATAGAAATAAATAGAATGGATCAAGTGTAATTAATATTATATTTCTTTTTATTTCTTCTTATATTTTAATTTTCAAAATAGAATGAATTATAATAAAAATAATACTTTTTACATTTATTTTATTTAAGTACAATCTATACCACGAACAGGCATATAAAAATTAATTTGTATTAATTATTGTAAAGAAAAATAGTTACAATATATTTCATTGTTTTTAAATATTTTAAGAAAGAATTCTTATATATAATTAATATAATAGTAAGATCGAAAAGTCTAAGAAAATGAAAACAAATTATGATTCATTTAATGTATTACATGTATCAAAGAAAAACCTGTTAAAGACGTACTTAATCTGGTCGTCTTTCAAATTGGACCAAATTAAAACATCAAGATATGTCATAAATTATTAGATATTGGTGAATAATTGCAAAAGTCTTCTCACTTATATGCATTATAACAGTTTTGCTGCACTGAAAATGCTTTGTTGTAATTAATTACTTATATTTTTCCATCTAAGAGGATAAAATATTTTAAAGTAATTTAATTTCAAATATAAAAATTTGTAAGTTATTAAAATAATCATAATTTAAACTTCAATACAAAGTAACTACAAAAGGATGGAGATGCAAGAGGTATGTTACATTTTATTATTGGAAAATTTTTTAAATATTTACATTTATGTAATTTATTAGTAACAGTTGAATTTATATAGTTTCATGTAGTGTCATATATATGCTACGTAATATTAATATAAGTTGAATTCATACTTTGACCATATATGATATATAAATAATTATTTATTAAAATTGATATTTGTTGTATATAAATTGCATTTGCAAACATTCATTGAAATCTACAAGCAATTTTTTATTTATTTCACATAAAGATTTTTATGGTTAATAAAATATACATATTGTATCAAACAATGTAAGACAGATACATGTAATTACAATAATAATATATAGATATATTTGATTTTACAAAAGTGAGAAGACTTTTATGATTGCATCCAAACAAAAATTCGCATGAAATGAACACAGGTGCTAAACATTAAATACTGTGGACTTTGAGGTGCCTTTAGTCTATTCATCATAAATCACTATCGTTAATCAATTTATAGACATGTTATTTTCACTATGTAGAATATAAATATAGAATATACAATTTTGATCCCTTTTAATTGCACAAATTTATATACACAATTGCACTTAATTTTGTTTTTGAATTGACTTTGTTTCTAAAAATGAGTGGTCGGAAAAGACAACTGAAAATACACATAAATGATTCTCTTTATCTTAATTATATATACATAGAATAATTATCATCTATGTAAATACATGTACAAGAAAAATAATATTCAAGTTTGTTTTATACAAAAGGGACTGCTTGTAAGATCGAGTTATCCAAAATATATTTATTGATAAATTTGTATTACATTACAGATACAATGTTGAAAAAGTACGAAGTAAAATAAATGTTGATACTTAACAGAGAAAAATATATTTTGTTTTAATATGTTTAATATTCAAGTATTAAAAATTAATTTGATATAATATTAAATTGAAAATATTAGTTGTTTTTTTTTTTTTAAAGAAAATAATACAATTATCGAATACAAAAGCCTACTTTTTTCAATTTTTTCTTTCATGCATGATGTAACATACTAATAATAAATATGACTATTAAGAAAGAAACTAAGTTCAGTCAAAATGTTGAATTGAATGTATCAATTATAATGCAATACTTATAAGTTTTTCTTTAAAATATTTTTTCTTTAGTAAACGTTATTGCTTTTGAGTACAGTATTCTGAATACGAGTGTTAACGCACTAGAGTCCACTATTTATCTAATTGTAAGAAAGATTATACATGTACGCGTAATGCAATTGTATATAATTAGAATTCTATCTCATTGCCCTCTTACACATATGCTATACATAAACATAAGTACCTAAGATAATAAAATTATTATTATTAATTAATTAATTTAATTTACTTATAATTTTTAAAATGTATTTTTGAAATTGAAATTTCATACAACTAATTATTTTGTATTTTTATTTATTAAATACCTGCCTGTTACTAAGGTATAATATTTTTTAACTGTAAAATCAATTGATTATTGAACTCAATGGATTATTCAAAATGAAGAAGAATATAAAAAAATTACAATAATTTTTAGTTCTTAGCACTAAAAAATGATGGTTTATTTTCGTGAGGCGTACACAAATATAGCTATTATATACGAATTATAAAAATGCACATAATGGCAATTGAAAGAATTGGTTAAAAGATTTGAAAATACACGGAATTGAATTTATTTGTATATGTGTAAATATCTACTAACTTTTATGCGACATAAATACATACATAATGAACAACACAATATGTGTAAATATCTATTAACTTTTATGCGACATAAATACATACATAAAGAACAACACAAAAATTAGATACAGAAAATACTTGTAAAGAAATCGGTACAGGGGATATACACAATAGTTAATATACACATGCTATTATACATGATATAATTATATTATGTTAATTATGTAAAAATTGTACAAAACTATGAATATAGTAGTATGTAGTTTTACATATTATATCTATCACATATGTAGAATTCATTTCACATCGAGTTTTTAAAGAAGGAAAATAAATTACTTTTGATCAACCATACTGATCCATTATTATTTTAAAATATAGTATTTATAGTCAATCAAAAAAGCAAGTTCACATTCGCATATAACTTTTTATATATTAAAGATTTACGCAACGAATGATCATAAATGTCGAAGCTGAATATAAATAAATAAAAAAAGAATATTAAAGATATCTCGATGAAATTTGATGGCAATATTATTTGATATATATTTTTATTCTAACGTTACATTCTTACGTTATATCATTCAACGTATTACTTTTCATTTGCTATCGTGGAAGATGACGTGTATATACTATGTATATACTACGTTAGAAATAGCGTGCAAATTAGATGTTCGTTTCTGTTCTTTGATAATAGGCATTGTGCATACAGAATTCATGACAAAATTCATTCGTTTAAAGAAATTATTATTAATGTGAAAGCATTATTGAAAAATCTTGAAAAGGTTAAGAAAAACAATTAAAGATCAACGGCCGAGAAAATTGAAAAAAGGCATTATCTTTTTTCATGATACATAACAGTCAAATTCAATGGAAATTCAAATGAAAATTGTGGCAACAATTTTCTTACTTAATTTTCTAGTTCAGATCTTTTGCTTTATGACTGCCATAATTTCGAATGAAAACAGATTTTCTAAAGAAACGATATCTCTCGGACATTAGATTAAATCCAAAATACGATTTAAGAGTGATTATAAATTAGACGGAAATTTTTCGATCGATAAACAGGAAAAATGGTGTTACGATTATTAAATGCCTCAGTCGACATGGAGATTATATAGAAAAATAGTTCTTACGTTGTATTATCAAATAAATAATTTCTAAAATTGAATACTTTATTATTTTGAATATGAGCGTAGCTAACTTTTTGACTGATCTTCGTATATAAACATTTCTTGATTTATATAATTTTATTCGTTTATTGTGATAGTCTACTAAATAAACAAATAATCAAATTGATATACTTTTACTTCGAAATAATTTAGAAATAAATGACATTAATGATATTGTTAAAGACGACAATTAAATCTTGCTTTATGAACTTTTTTTTGCTATTATATTTGATTAATACGTTTAGTCATTTACTAATTTTGAGCCTCACATATCTTAGTTTTTTTTATGTGGAATTAAGTACTTTCTCGAATGGCACGCTCAAATATTACACATTATAAAATAGAAGGTCAAGATCATTTTCATAGCTTGATAAAAAAATGAAATATCAAAAAACTAATTATCATATTTCAATTGTCTATTCTTAATCAATTATTATATTTCATTTGAATCATCTTTTCATACAATAAATAGTTTAGAAGCAAATTTATGTGGTATAATTGATCAAGTTAAATGATTCACCTTGTATATTAGAAACATCGAACTTGCCTTCACGAACGCATCTATATTCTCAACTAAGTGTTGAGCATTATAAATATTATATATTGTTCTTTTAAATAATGATCGATATATAATATTTTCTTATCTTTTACAAAATTTTATTCCTTTTGGTTGTAAATTTTATTTGCCAAATGGATATGATCCATTCATTAGAATGAAACGAAATGTTGAGAGGGTAAAGGGGAAAAGGAGAGGACGTCGAATATAAAATTTTAACTACGGGTCTTCATTAGTTTCCAAGATATTAATAAAAACTTTTTAAAAGTTCTATCTATACAGATACGATTAATACAACAAATAGTAATGTATTATTGTTGGTGAGCATCGAAAAACTGTTTGCATAATAGCAATATCAACATATAGGATGTTTCACTTAAAATCCGACATCATCTTTTAATACAATATATTGAATTTTACCTACACAGATGTTTGTAATGTTTAATTAGATTAATTAATCACCTGCTAGCTTGATCCGCATTGAGATTGGATTAGATTATTTATCCGGTGGTAAATTACGATAAAGTATCCGCAAAATGTTGGTAAAGTCCATCAATGTTGGATTTTAAGTGGAACATTCTGTAAATATTGAGGACGGTATCGCAACTGCGTCTTCGAATACTCGACACTCGACGACACGTCTATTACTACAGCGAAAACAATTATAAGTAGATATAATCTGTATAGGCAAGATTCAATGTATTGTATCTAAAGTTTTTTATTAATATCTCAGAAACTAATAAAAACTCGCCTCGCATTAAAATTTTCGTTTCATTCTGATATTTAATTTCATTCAGGGTTCTCTCTCCTTCTCCCACACCCCTTCAAAATTTCGTTTCATTCTGATCAATGGGTCATACACCGCACTGCACTGTGTTTTTTCTTTTCACGACCTCATAGCTGATATCAAGGCAAATTGAATGACCTATGCGATGACGTTTAAATGACTATATTGTCACTCGTCGCGTGTGTTAAACTATTTTTGAAACGCATTTGGTTATAATATAAACTTATATCGCGAGCAAGAAGTTGAAAGTCAAATATTTTTATATTTGATATATTGATAAGAGACATTGATGTATTGCGTTGAAGTTTGCTTTACGCGTAATTGAAAAAATTTGTTCATTGATGTTTCATTGATGTTGCCCTATTTACTAATTAAATAAGAGCACAACTGCATATTATCTTGACCATTGCCTTTAATAACGCCGAATGAATATACATTAAAAAAAGTGATAGAAGTTGATATTTATTGTCAACTAAAAAGTATTTTTTATTGTTGTCACGAGTGTCACACACGATATTGTTGAAAGCTAAATGCTTCAAAAATCCCAATTTTCATTCTATGACATAAAATTAGGGTTTTTGAAGCATTCAGTTTTTACTTTAAAGGTCATTTGAAAAAGTTGTAGGTCGTTGAATTCGTTAGTAAGACTGTAAAAAAAAATATACGATGTCATTTAAAAAAATCAAGATATTATTTTTAAAAATCTTGATTTCATTGATAAAAAATTTTGACAATTTTATACGAACTCCAGTAAAGTCAGAGATGCCAAGGAAACAGATTGCATTACATATCTTATGTTATTTTGAAACTCTATTATCTCATATGCAAATACAGATTTTATTTCATTTACATACTGAAATTCTATATGTGTGTGAATTATTATATTGTTAAATTGATTTAAATTTGATTTAAATTAAATTAAAGTCGCATATTTAATTTAAAATATAAAATAAGTATAAAAATTAACTTATACATTCAATACATACGCTTTATACATTCAATACATACACTTTATACATTCAATACATACTTACACTCAATACATTCGAAAAATAATAGAAAAGAAAAAAAAGTAGTTTATCTTTTAATTGCCTAGATACATATACATAAATACATTTAATTTTCTTGTATATATGAAATATAGTATATATGAAAAATATACTATAGTTTCAATGCATCACGTGATAGTACAGCCATGCGTTTCTTATGCAACATGGCGACCGGTAAAGGACTTGCAATCGTTTTTCGACCAAAGACTATTAATTTAATCAGTAATAATAAATTAAATAAATTGCCGTGTGGTACTGCACAAAAATGTAACACATGTCATAGATTTATTACAACAGTAGTATTGGGTGTCAATAACTGGAACTCAAAACTAACGGGAAAACGTAATGTATAGGTTTAACCATGAACATAAGATTACATCATACTTTTTTTCATAATATACATTTACTTATATACTAAATATATCTTGGTGTTTTGCAAAAATTTTCGGTTTTAGATTGTATATATTGTCACAAATGTTTTGTTTTGTTTATGCAAATTCTAATAAGTAAACTTCAAAAGTGAAACATAACCTGACAGTTCATAACACATGGTTTCTTTGCTACTTATAGTTGTTTATAGTAGTATCAAGTAGATTTTCATTATCTAAATTTTGTATCAAAATTTTTAGTATCAAATAGATTTTCATTATCTAATTTTATTTTAACGTATCAATGTAATTAAATTATATATTAAATTTTATATAAATATAATATATTTATTAAAAAATTAAAAAATTTTTGTAATAAATTTACATATACATTGTAAAACAATTTTTTGAATTGCTTATTTTATTGGTTATATAAATCATATAAGTTTATTGAAAATTGTATAATTGCAGATATAATAAAAAATTTGACCCAAGTTCAAAGAGGAATACATACAACATATAAACTACTGAAGCGTAATTATTATGAAATACTGGGTGTATCTAAGAATGCTTCGGCAAAAGATATTAAAAAGGCTTACTATCAACTCGCTAAGAAATATCATCCTGATACAAATAAAGGAGATCCAAATGCAAGTAAAAAGTTTCAAGAAGTTTCAGAAGCATATGAAGTATTAAGTGATGACAACAAAAGAAAAGAGTATGACACATGGGGGTCTACAGCAGAACAAATGGGAATGGGTGGCAGTGGCCATGGTGGTCATAGTCATACTAAAGATTTTAGTGAGAGTTGGCAATTTAGATCATCAGTTAATCCGGAAGAATTATTTAGAAAAATATTTGGAGAAGGTGGATTTCAAAGTAATATTTTTAATGATTTCGAAGATTATCAAGAGACAAAATATGGTTTTGGCGCAGCTCAAGAAGTAAGTACTTATATATAAAATATGATAGCATGTATATATAAATATGAATAATAGGATATCATATGAAGAATTGTAGTTAAAATATAATGTTATTACGAAAATTGTTTAGTGTAAAAAGGTACATTATGTAACATAAATATTTCTTTTATTGGTGAAGATTTTAATGGAAGAAATCTCAAGTTAATTTTTTTAAATGAGACCCTATATTTTTTTATTCATAATATTATAGCAAGTATATAGATTAAACTTGAGGCACTACTATTTTAAACTTTTTTTTACATCATCTGATAGTAATTGATGAATATAGATCATATTTTGACAATGGATAACTTTTGAATCAATGGATTCTGACACACAAAAACTATTATATTTCATTTCTATTATCAAATATTATCAAAATATGCGAAAAAACGATTTTTAACTCAGAAAAATTCAACGATCTGTATATATATATATCATTCCATGTATCAAAATCATAAATTAGTGAGGTTGACTAATACTAAGCGGTAGGTGACAATAGTTTAATGTTGTGTGACTCTTCGGCCAGATTGATCCAATTTTATTCAAGAGATATAAAAACAATATATGTAAGATAGTCAACTTGTTTATGACTGCAATGTACAATTATTTATGTCTGTCAGTATCACATGCATTGACATAATTTCGATTAATTTATAGTTTCATTGCATTGAATGATATGATAAAACATAGGACAAAACAATATCAGTATTATATCTGCTATAATATAAATAAAAAAGTACAGAATCCTGAAAAAGATTAACTTGAAATCTCCTTTACTACTTTACCAATAAAAAAAGTTTATACCACATGCCACCAACTACTTTTGTAGGAATATTTTTTTTTGATAATTTTAATTCCACAAAAGATATTCTAATTCATATTTTAATATAATCTAAAAGAAACCTAATAACTTTGGAATTATTATATAGTTAATATATTTATAGATCATATTGAATCTAAAAGGTTATATACTTTATAGATTTTAGTCTACTTATTTTTTATTTATTTCAAAAAGTAGATTTTATATTTATATATTGGATTAAAATAATGGTTTTTATCTTTTATTTGTTTTTAATTTATATATGCTAAAGGATGATTGTTCTTATTATAAACATAAATTTAATGTTTCAATGAATGTTGCCATTCTAGAAATTTTATTTCTGATACTGTTTACCTATATTAATTTGTCTTATATTTTTATTTGCTCTCAGTTGTTTGCTTTCAGTTTATATTTTATCTGTTACTTGACTGAAGTAAATAATGGTTATTTTGAAAATAAGTAAATCAAGACCAGTATTGCTTAATATAATTTAGAATAAGTTACTAAATAAATTACTTTTTTGATTTAGAGTAAGCTATTAAATATGTCAGTAAAGTTATTTAGTTTTTTGTGTATTATTATGTCATACATATTAATTTAAGTATTAATAAATTGTATTATAATATATATACTTATACGAGTATAAAATATATATATAATACTCATATAAGTATTAATTAATTATAGAATTTATTTTTAATTTTTAGGTTGTTATGAATTTAACATTTTCTCAAGCTGCCAGAGGAATAAATAAAGAAGTTCAGTTAAATGTAATAGATACGTGTCTAAAATGTAGAGGTTCACGATGTGAACCAGGAACAAAAGCAGTTAAGTGTCAGTATTGTAATGGAACTGGAATGGAAACAATTAGTACTGGTCCATTTGTAATGAGATCTACTTGCCGTTATTGCAATGGTACTAGAATGTTTATTAAATATCCATGCATGGAATGTGAAGGAAAAGGGCAAACGGTACATACACTTCATGTTAAACACAAATACACTTCATCTTAAAAATATTTATTAAATATTTATTAAATATTTAATTTAATATTTATTAAATATTTATTAAATATTTAATTTAATATTTATTAAATATTTTATTGTAATTGTTTTATATAAAATATTTTAACAGGTGCAACGTAAAAAAATAACAGTGCCAGTACCAGCTGGTGTTGAAGATGGTCAAACTATTCGGATGGCTATTGGTAATAAAGAAATATTCATAACATTCCGCGTGGAAAAATCGAAATATTTTCGAAGAGATGGTTCAGACATACATACCGATGCCCAAATTTCGTTATCACAAGCAGTACTTGGTGGTACAATAAGAATAGAAGGCGTTTATGAGGATCATACTATACAAATTCGACCTGGTACTTCATCCCATAGTAAAATTCGACTGAATGGTAAAGGATTGAAAAAAGTAAATGACACAGGATATGGAGATCATTATGTACAAATTAAAATTGTTATACCTGCAAAACTAAATGATAAACAATTAGCATTACTTCAAGCTTATGCTGAACTTGAAGATGATACACCTGGAAGTATACATGGCATAACATATAAAACAGATGGTAAGAATAAACCTGACAAATCATGACATTGAGAACTGCATAACAAGTTAAACATTAAACATACAGACAAGTTAATGATATATTTATATTTCGTTTTTTATTCTTTATGCAATAAATTGGACCTAGTCAATGTTATAGATATTCTAAATAGAATTTTTTAAATAATTTTTGTTTCTTATAAAACAAAATAAAATTAGATTTGTGTGTCGCTTGAGTTTCTTCATGTGTACCTGCCCTTGCTAATTAATAAATGATGTAAAAATTTATATGTGCGTTTCATTAGTGTTTCGTAATAATAAAATACATGTTTTTAAAGATAATGGAATTTTAACAAATTAATTTAGTAATCAAAGCATTTTCATATACTTTTATAATTTATTTACTTTACAAGTTCCTTTATCCTTTTATTCTATGAGATTATACATACTTTTTTGGCAGGTCCAAAGGTAAAAACTCAAGCGAGACAAAATACGCAAAGTGAGTCGCATGATGAAAATGATGGTCTTCTTAATAAAATCAAGAAAGCTATATTTGGATAAAATTTGGTGAGTTAATTTCTGCAAGAAAATTAAAAATTTTTTAGATGTATTATTTAATTTATCTGTATGATTAATAATAATAAATTAATTTATAATAAATTTTGATCTTTTAAAATAAATTATGTGAAAAAGTTTTATTCTTCATTGCATGTTCTTATACAGGAACTAAACAAAGTTATGCTGGTCCTTTGGATTTAGTGAATTCCATACGAATGGCATTAGATGACATTTCTCATATAGACTGTTCTTCTTCTGAATATAAAAATTCTGAAGATACACCTCACGTCAATACTAAAGAAAAGAACAGTAATTCACAAAATGAAGATGTTAACCCAGTGAGAAGGCGAAAAGTATCTTAAATTCAGTAACTAAAGAATTAGTCATTTGCGATACTTTTAGAAACAATTAAACAAAAGAATATAAAAATAAATATCACATAAAAAATTCAAATTATAAACATTGTTTAAATTTTAAATAAATTGATTGTAATGCACTTTTTTTTAAATGTAATTATACATCGAGATTATTTGATTAATATAGTTCGTTAATGCACTTTTGCAAGTGCATTCATAAAAAGGTTAATAGTTACCGAAATTAATAGATATAATTATAATTATACTATTTGTGTAATAAATTACGCAAACTGTCATATTTTTATTTATGTTTTATCATTATATCCTTCATTCCATACTATCCAAAACAAATTTATATTTAATTAAATTTATATATCTATTTCGTTGTTGCTAGCTTCATTTTAGATATTTTTGATATAAATTAATTTGGTGAAAAGGAAAAAAGAGTATAATGCATAAATATAATTTATTAATTTAACTACATTGATTACAAATACAAAATGCATATAGAATAAAAACATTTCTTTTAGAAAAAAATAATTTTGTCTATTTCTAGATTGTTGATGACTTTTTATTCTATCTTATGTCTGATATAAGTGACAAAGGTTTCCAAATGTAATTTGCAATTTAATATTTTTCCTTATTTATAAATGTACATTGTATATAAAATCAGTATCTTATTTTAAATAATTTTTCAGAAATCAGATATTTAAATAATATACAAACTACTGTATATAGAGTTTTTATTTTTAACAAATATAATATTTATATCATAAAATTATATGTGTATGTATAGACTTTTTAAATTTAACAAGTGCAGTAGTTTTATTATGAATTTATGTTGTATTATTTTGCAGATAAAAATAATTTTAGATATGAATACAACAAAATTAGAAAGACTATCGCGAAAAAGATATTTGTATTGTTTTATTTTTAATATTATAACACACTTTATACTTTCATATTAATTAACGTACAAAATATAATTGTTCTATTTTGTTTATATTATAATTATTCTTGTCAAAATAATGTTTACTGCATGTACAATGATATTTTTACACATTATTAAATCTTATTATAATATAATTTTAATTAGGAAACAAAATCTGTCAATCATTAAAAGTTGTTACGAAAAATGCAATAATTTTCAAAATTTTTATACGAGATATATAAACATATACGTATATACATAATATACATATAATTAATAAAAAATATAACATGTGTATAAACTTGAAATATAATTTATATATATATATATTTGTACTGTTATTGAAATATGTCAATTTATTATTATATTGTTATGACATTTATTTATTGAATACTTTTAATGAAACAAATTAAGTATTCACATAATTTAAAATATTATATATATAAATATTTACGAAAAAATACATATACGAATTATATAATTTAATGATAATTTATAATAAAAAGAAAAAGAAATCTTATTCTGAGATTTATAACATATATTTATATATAGTTTTTTTGTTCATTTTACATAAATATAAGCTTATTGCATTATATGTACTGTATATGTAATTATAATTAGCAAATATAAATAGATCATATTTTTATTCATTAGACTGCATTTATGAAAAATTTGAAAATTCAAAAATGTATGTAATGTATGGAATGTGAAAAAATATATAAAGTCAAAGAACTTATTGTAGTAATTAGTAAATAAAACAGACTTCGACTTCATACTCGAAACTAATTCACTTTTCTAATTATGTTCACAAAAATAGAAATGCATAAAAATTTACTATTACTTGTAATATATATTTCATGATTAAGATATATGATATGAAATAAAATAGAATAATACTAATATATTTTATAGAATAATACTAATATACTTTTTACAATATTTTATTCTAAAATGGTTTTAAAATTATATTTTACTAGCTTACATATCAATTTAATATAATTTGTTGAAATAAATATAAGTAAATAATTCTTTATGAAAAATTATTTTTAAAACAATTATATTCGAAATATAAAATATTTATTGAATATATTACGCTTCAATTAATAAGCCGTATTTGAGACCAATATTAGTCAAATTTTGAGTAGTTGATACACCCAAAACTGCAACTGCGATAGCAGCAATCGTGACTGCGCCTTCCAAATAAAGACCATATAATATTCGCACATAGCCAACTATTGTTGAAAGACCACCAGCAGCTGTAAAATCTAGAGGAAATAAAACACTTGCTGCAATTGGTCTGGATCTGGCTACTCCGAAACACAGAACTCCCAACAGATAGTAACTGGCTGTAATTTGAAATAAGTCATTTTCGTAAGTAAATTTGATGCTTTATAATTAGATGTTTTCAAATAATTCTATTGGAAATTATCTTTTGCAAAAACTTAATAAATTTATATTCATCTATTTCTTATTCTATAAAATTAAGTATTTTTTGGTTAATAAATAAAATTAATAAATAATATATTTTCTTTTGAATAAAAAATATTTTTTTAGTATATTTAATCAAATTTTATATTTATTTATTAGATAATATTTTGTTATGTTTAAAATATGCATTTTAATGACTTTTAGATTTTTTCTTTTTTTCTTAAACACTTTATTATATCATTAAAATAGGAACTCAATTGGGAGAAGTTGAAAAAAATAATATATTTTAAACATTTTTTGGAACTGAAAAATATATGTTCGTATAATTTTGGGAAAAGGCGTCCGTTTTTAACAAGCTGTGAAATAGAGCAATTTGAAAAGTGTTTAAATTTCTAGTATTTAAAAAAATAAATGAAAACATTTTTCAGTTTATATATATATATATATATATATATATATATATATATATATACACATATTGATTTTGAGAAAGTTAAAAATGTAAACGCATGGAGCCTAGCCGAAAATAGAATCAAATAAAATGAAAAAATATAATCAAATAAATATAATCCAACTTACTTTAGTTTAGGATAATAATAGGATAATAATTAGGATAGATTAAAGTAGGATAGATACGATTTGGTTTGCAATCCCTCCTCTGCTCACGCGTTTAGATTTTAACCTTTACTATTTATGTATGAACTAAAATTTCTTTTTGTGGAAAACAAAAATATTTGATTGATTTGATGTTAGATCGTAATACGAGTCTAGTTAGATTTGATTAACAAGGGGTTCTCTTACTTGGCAGGCAATTATTTTAATTGAGCTATTTTGGTTAAAGATAGATGCTTTTTCCCAAAATAATAATATATTGTATTTTTTAAATTAAAAAAATTGATGATATAATGAAGCATCTGAGAAAAAAATTGTATCGAAATGGTGTAATTCGAAAAAGTCGCAAAAATGATTTACCGTGATTTTATACAATGGAACTATTAATTAATGAATGAAGTATGTAATTTTGTTTCTTTAAATGATTAATTTAATCACCTACGAAATTTTTTTCATATATTTCATATGTTTGTCATATATTTTCTTTATAATAAAATTTTTTTGTCATATATTTTTTTTATAATAAAATTTTCAATTTTTATTATAAATATGTTTTGAATTGATTTTTAGTGGAACGAATATTTTGTGGAAATATTTACTAATCTTTTTCAAGGTTCAAAGATTTTTATACAGTTTATGCTAAACATATCCTACTAATATCAATAAAATAATAATATTCAGAATAAAAATGATATAGCAATTGGAACGCAATAATAAAATTATTTAAACCAATAGTAATGATTTTTTTTTCTAAATATAGGATTATGAAGCTTATGATATTCAATAGACATAGAAAGAATACAATTTGATTTCCAGAAAGGATAGTATAACTGTATCAAAAAACAAATCAAATATATGGTTAGAGTTAGATAAATTCAGCGTACAAAATAATAGAAAAAGGTTAATTACTGACTGGTATTAGTTAATAAACATAGATTGAATAGAAAAGTATTTAAATAGTATTAAATAGTATTAAATAGAAAAGTACAAAATTTACACCTTCGCATAAAAAGTAAACTCAACAAATATAAATATGAAATCAATAATACAATAATATAACAATTTAAGTAAAAAAAAAATAATAAAAGTATCAGAAAGATTTAATCATATATAAATATATATAAATATATATAAATATATAGATAAATATGTAAAAAAATATTGCAATAACAGTAAAAGTTTAATATAGTAGAACTCCATTTATATGAACTTGTTAGAAAACAAATAGTTGAATCTATAATTCTCTTTTTTTATTAATTTTTTAAATTAATGACTTTTCATTTATATAATATGAATTTAAATAAGTAAATTCATCTAGCAACAATTAGGTATTGATTGAAATTTGATCAAATGAATAGAGTTCATAAAAAATGATAGATAATAATTGTTAAATAAAATAAATTAGACTATCAGCAAAATAAGTGTTGTCAGTGAAAATTAAATCATATGTATACATATAAAAACTCAAACGAGAATGTAACATGATATGTATATCAAATATAAATGATATGTATACAATGTATAAATGATATGTATATGTATATCATACACAAAATGTAGTAAAAGAATATTTTCAATTGCTAAAATTTTTGAAGAATAAGAGCTGAATATATATATGTTTATTTTTATAAAGAGAAAAAAGTAAATGTAGAAAATAGTAGATAGAAGCTACATGTATTCTATTTGGAAGAATAAAAAAGAGAAAGAAAAACAAAAAAATTAACATGTAAAAACAAAGTAATAACATAAAATTATAAGTAGAGTATAAGTATGATTAAATAAAAAGCAAATAAATAAATTAGAGATGCACTGTAAATAAGCATGTATACTAAATTATATATAGATAGATATATAATATGGTATACCATATATATGTATATATATGTAGATAGATATATACATATATATATTAGTATAGCTATAGGTATTGTTTGAATCTAGTTTTATACTGTTTTATTTTCTGATTAAATAAAGTTCTAATAAAAATAAAATATCTTTTTATGAAACATGTGAAATAAAAATGAATAGTGTATTTATACGAATATATAAAGTCAATTACGAAACCTTCATAAAATAGATATGTCCATTTTAAGTGTTTTCTGTAAATATCAGACATATAAAAAAACATTTCAGATAAAAATTGTATAGATAATCAAAGGATATATCATATTATGATGATAAATGTTTGACCTTGAATTAATATTAGAGTGTTATATTTATTATTATATTAATAGAAAAAAATAATGACACTATTATAATTTTACATAATGTATATATTGTACATACGTAATACGTTGTAAATTATTATTCAGGACTATTTGATTACCCGATACAATTTGATCAAAAGCTTTACTTTTTTAATATACTTTTAAAGTATATATACTTATATATAGCTTTATAGTATATATATATAGCTTTTTATTTTTAATATACTTTCAAAGTTATAATTCTTTTTATTATTAATTTTTCACTTCTTGCAATAATTAGGATTAGATACTGAACTAAATAAAAAACTAAAACAAGTTTAGTTAAAACATGTACATATTTACATCGTTTTAAATTCATATTTATATACACTTTATATTTCATACTTTATATACTTTTCGCGAAATTTAATTTATAGAAATAGACACGAGGATTTTTCGAGAATTTTGTGCAAAAATAAAAAAGCCACTTTTGGAAAAAATCAAGTTGATTTCTCAAAATCTCGATACATTACATACTTGGTTCAATGTTTCTTTAACTTTTTAATCTCATCCATAAAAAAAAAATATGTATATATATATAATATAATATATAATATATGTAGACACACTCCCGTCCATAAGTCACCGGGCATTTGCTTATTTTGATCTAAACAGTTACTAGAACACAGATATACTTTTCCGGGTTAATTTTATTATACAATCTTGTTATATGTACTCTATTTACTCTATTTTATAATAATAAAACTTGAAAACAAAACTGATATTTAACGTATATGGTCCAAATAAATATTTCAAAGTATATAAAAAATATGTATATATATTTAAAAAATCGAATCAATGTATTTTGGGATGAATTGGACAGAAGCCTTCAGAAAGGTGTTCAAAATAAAAAAAAAACTTATGGAAGAAATTAAAAGAAACGTGGAAAGAAATTCATTCCGAAACATTGTTAAAATTAAACGGAAGTGTGCCACGGTTTTTTTGTCCTTCCTATTTGCACAAAGATATAAGATACATTATATACAACTTGGTAAGATTTTTGACATATAAACAGTTTGACATATATCATTCTATGTCTCTTTCAATACCACGCTTTTATTTTTTCATATTTTTAATTCTTAGAGGAATAATCACGTGTAAACATTTAAGGTAAATATACTGTATTGTGTGACTTTCTAATTAATGTCAGACAGCTAGGATTTCTTAGAAAGCTTTATATAAGCTAATAAAATATAACTACAGTAAAAAAAATGATATGCACACACAAGGTTATCTAATAAACAGTTAATGCTCATTTAACGTGGATGATAAAATATTAAAGTAGTGTGAATTAGCATGAATACAGTCGCCACGATTTTTTAAGCACTTTTAATCATTGTAAAAAACAATGTTCAGGTTAAATGTTAAGGTGACATTGAAATTTTTTGAATAACACTATTGCAGTGGCATCAAGACAAATTCAACGATCTGTTACACTGTGATCTTGAGTCTCGGAATTTCGTTTTAATCAAGGGAAATGTTACTATGAAAACTTGTTTTAATTTTATTGAAAAATTAAGTTACATGAAAATGATTACCTTCCATGATACTATTTTTTAAAATTCAGGGTTACCTTGAGATTTAAAAAAGAAAACAATTTTTTGAGAATTTTTTACATTGTAGATTGTAGTCAACTAAAAGCTGACTAATTTTTATTGTGAATAGTTTTTTCTACAATGATCCGAAGTGTCTGAAAAATCGTTAGGTACATCCTGTATAAGAAAATGTCTAAGTAATTAAAAATTATTATAAATCAAACATATATTTTCTATTTTGTAGTATAAGCATGTCGTAGTACCAACCAACTTTATAGCAAATCTATGCACATATTATAAGTATATGTATATAGTATGCATTATGATTTATAATTACCTACACAAACGAAGGGCACTATCTTAACCCATTTCGGCACTGGCGGCAAATAACTTAGATCTGTTAGATCGTATCCTTTAAATTTTCTTGCTATGGCATATCTCTGTAATCGTACTGCTAATAGAAGACCAAGATTCATAATTAAAAGAAAATGTGCAGGTATACCAATAGCTGCAAAAATAACAGTTACTGTTCGACCAATTGTTGTCCGTGGAACTGGAGCACCAAAACCTACGAATTAAAGAAAATGGAAGCGAATTAAGAACTAGCGGAGGTAAAAAAAAAATTTATTTGCTTATGTATAATTACGTCGTTTAAGCACGTAAAAAATAGTATAAGAAAATAGAAATAAACTATATATTGTAGAAATAAACTTTATATTTCGAAAGAATATTATATTTATTATATTTTACATTAATTACTTAAAGAAACAATAGATAATTATCTAGAAAAGGAGATTTCTGGCCGATTTCAATGATCTTGAAATATGTTGTCAAAATTCTGAATAATTTTTCTTCATACAGGTATGTTACGGCCGCTCGATTTTAATTTCAGAGCTAGACGAAAAAATCTTCAGTGAAAACATGTCATTTTCAAATCGATTGGAATTTTGGAGATAATTTCATTTTACATAAAAATAATATTTACAAAAAGGATTTTTGTAAATATTACAAGACTCAAGAAATTAAAACCCAAAATGAAAGTTTGGAATAGGCCGATCGGTTTAAAATAGTCTAAATAGTCAAACATAATCTATATATAAATACAAAGTGTAGTATTGAAAATACATTTTTAAATATATCTGCATCCCACCAGACAATAAGTCTAACTAAAATATTCAATTTAAAAAGAGGAATTTCCCTTTTTAAAGGGGAATCGACGATCAGTGGTGGCCAAAAAAACTGTCGTCATTTCGAAATAATTCACAAAAATTAATGATTCTTCACGAATAAGTTGTTTGTGGGGCTCAAGAAAGAAAGTATGAAAGATTTATTGAAGTATTCAGCTATAGTATATCTCAGCTAAATGGAATCATTCAAATAATTATTTTAAGGGATTCATTGACCGGTGGAAAAACATTTTTCCAAAGTCACTATGAAATTACAAGATTTATTTCGAATATCTCGTTAGAAATCCAAGAATCATTGAAATCGGTGAAGTTTGCCCTTTGAAAAGTTATAAAACAGATATTTATAAATATCTTGGAAACTACGGCTGAGCTGCGGTGATATGTATAGGGAAAAAATTATTCAGAATCATAAGCCTTGACCTTTCAAGTTCATTAAAATTGGCGAGGAGTCCCTGTTTCTTGATAATTATCACGATGTCTATATACTGAAATCTTTCGCCGATATATCGATGTATCGATGTATATCAATATCTTTTTCCATATATTTATCGCAATAATTGAAATATATTTACTAGAAATCTAAATCTAAATTACCGAGAGTAGTCAGAAGCGATAGGGCAAATAAGATGCAACCAGGAAACGTCCACAGTTGTCCACTGTTTCCATTTTCGCCATATCCAGAATTAACCGCCATCAACAGTAGCTCTTCATGTTTTTCCACGTATTGGTGCACTTTGTTGCTCCAAAGTGGTTCTACGTCTTCTTCTTTCTCTGTGCGCAGCTGTCTCAATTCTGTTGCTAAACCAACTGCTAAATCTTTCTGCATATTCTTTAACTTTACAACTTGTTCGCGTTCTCGTGGTCCTTCTATTGCACAAAAAGCCACTGCACCGACAATGGCCCAAATGGTAAGTAACCATACTAATCCTGCAATATGTAAATCATATGTTAAACAAAAATAACGAAAGTAAATTATTAAGATTATTTGCTAATATACAAATTATTTTATTCGATAAAGCTATTTTATATATATATATATATATATATATAAGAATTATGATTATTGTATTTTCTTAATAACAATTACAAGTTATGAACGAAAAAGAAGATGTCAATTTATTTTTACCGAACAAAGAAAGTGATAATCTTCCTAGAAATCTAATATGTTTCCACATTTTAGAAAATCCTTTTACGTTTGATGAATCTACATCTTTTTCTTCGACAATATCTCTAACGGATGGTAAAACCCTGAGTCGCAATGGTAGTCCAACTATTGTTTGAATAGCAATTGATTTTGTTGATTTTTCGGAATTTGTGGTCGTTTTATTTCGCGGGGAAATTTCTTCCGATATTGTTGTAGGCGTATCTAAGAATAATAGATTAAATTATTACTATACTTTCAGAGTATAACAATATACTGTACTTTTGAAATATTTAATTTCATTCTAACGTTTAAAAATGGTTTTCATGCTTTGGAATCATAATACACAATTATTGTCTATATAAATAATGTCAAGATGAAAAAAGTGAATAAAAAGTGCTGAAAAGGAAATATTATATTTTTATTTATTTTTGTTATTTATTTTATATGCTTCAACAGATTCTTTTCTTTGTTATAGTAAAGTTTCAAGTTCGATATGAGACCTAATATTGTCTCTAATAATGATAAGTTTAACATGCATATTGTGTGTCAACATGTGGAAGATTAGATTCTTAATTTGTTAAATAATTTATTAATATATTTCCATAACTTATGCTACAATATATACAGTATATACGACTTGGTATCAATTTTCTTAGATTCAACTTCCAATTTTAAAGACTACAGTATATTCCGTCGGCCTACATTCGGTTTTTCCTTACGTATTGATTTAGTTCTTCTTAACGTGTTATTATTAATGAAACCAGGGATAGAGTATGTAACCAACTAGTAATATAGTCATCAACTTTATACTTCCGTATAATTCCATATGCTATGTATGTGTATAACCTTGACAATAAAGAAACATGTGTCACTAATTATAGAAAAGTTTAAAAACATTCTAGAATAACGGACAATCTCCTTCAATCGGAATTTCAGTTGTCATACATTTTATTTTTCCTTTTATTATCCTGTTTATTTACGTCTACTTAATTTTTATTGCAATAACTTGTATTAAAGCTAACTAGATATGTCAATTTTATAACTTCTTAACAAATAAGTTAAACGTTATACTTGTGTAACGTAAAAGTATAAAATTTTGCGCAATTATAAAAAGGAATTGTAGAAAATTATTAATAAGAATTGATGTTCATTAAAATCCAATTTTAATATTAAATGTCTATTATTAAATAATTAATCGACATGTAATTAAATTAATTATATCATTATAATTAAATATATCAAATTAATTAGGATTATATTTATATGTAGAATAATAAAGATAGAGAAAGCGAGAAAAAGGAAAAGAAAGACAGTCAGTCAGACAGACGGAGAACTCTGTGTGATCTTAACAATATTTGATATCGTCAAAAATTGTTTGTAAATTTTTATGTCTTAACATATACTGTACATTGATATATCTCTGTTAGATTAAGTTACTATGTTAAGAAATAAACAACCGTAATATATAATGAAACCATAAAAAGTTTAAATATTATATATTTATAAGATAATAGGTCCATATAGTTTAACACTGTAAATTATTTACTCTTAAAACAGAGTATTCATTAATAATATTTACTAGAATATATGTCAGTCTAAATGATTGCTTTTGAATAATCTTAAAACGCCCGTTTGGTTCGTCAGTGAAATTAAAAATTAAAATTATTGAAATTGTTGAAATTTAAATAAAGATATGAATACCTTTAACATGTTACTATGTATCACAACTGATAAAAACTAGAAAACTTGATAAAAATTCGTCATACCAATTGCAAAGACTACATCATTGTCGTCTTCAGTTTCGTCGTGCCTCTGCTGTTCTGTCATTGTTATGTGAAATTTGGTAACACGACATTCGATTTGGTCCTTCTGTTTAGGATGTACTAAGTTCCTATGAGTGGAATGTCGTATTTTGTGGATTTTGAGTGCTCTGTGCATTTTCTTCTCCACATGTTGTTTACGCGTGCATGTAACAGCGGATAGTGAAACAGGTGTCAACTTCGCAACGTCTATAACATCACTAACAGGCGTCGCAACACCCCCAAGGATTGGCGGTGCTGGAAAAAGGGGTACGTCCATCGACAAAGGTCAGGGTCCCTCTACTTATGAATTACGATGCTATCATCAATAGTGATTACTTTCTTTAACTTTATTCTTTGTTGCTTCTATATCAACATATGAAAGCAACAATGTATATTTTATTTTTTTATACATATGTATGTACAACCATTGGTGCCCTAGTCGTCCATTTTGTAATTGTTTATTAATGGCATTTCGATGTGAATGGACTTAATTTATAAAGAATATTGATAAAAAAAAAAACAATATTGAAAAAAAAAAAAAACAATAAACGATACAAATGGTAAAATATTTGTAAAAGATACTTGTATGAGAAAAAACAGCTTAATAATAGCGTTTTATTTTTAATATAAAGTTGGCAATCATAATATACAGATCTTTTAATATTTTCGAAATTTATCTTGATTAGTGCTTAAAATGAAATTATTAAAATGAATAACTGAATAAATTTCATATTAAATTTCATTCTATTTCATTGCTGCAATTGTAGAATCTTCTTGAAATCCAGGTAGAAAACTAATATTATAAAACGATTGTTCCTTTTTATTTCGTATAATATTACTATAAATTATGAAATTATATAACATCTTACTAATGAATGCAATATAAGAAAATTTTATAATCCAAAAATTTATGATCTATAGTTGCAGCAACATCTGAAATAACAAAAACAAATTTAGGTTGTTTTAAAATATAAATAATAATCTTTTTGATTTTATTTAAAACAAAATCAGTTTCTTAACGTACTCTTTATATATTAAAAAAAAAATAATCGAATACATATAACTGCATATTTTTACACGTATCATTAATAACTTTCTGTTATAAAAATATGTTCTTTTTTTATAAAGAAAGGTCGCTTGACTCATTAAAACTAATCGAAGAATGTTTAATTAAGTAAAAATCTTATTGATAATTTTATTTTACTATCGCGCTTTGTAAAAGTGTAATTTTACAAATGGTAAATGAAACAACAAATTAAATATAATATTCATAAAATAAAAAAAGGATAAAAAATTAAATTGATCCTATTCATTCAATAAAAAAAGTCTATCATTGAAATCTTATATGAACAGTTGTTGTACATAGAATTACAGAAACGACTTTTCTGTTAAAAGCCAATAATGTAGAATTATAGATAATTTTTGAAAGCTGAACTTTTAATATTATTTAAAATATACGCATTTGCACACTAGTAGATAGAAGTAAATTCAAACACAAATAAATTATTATATTTGTCGAACTACTCAGAAATGTCTTAATAAAAATTACACCAATTAATGAATTAAATGAGGAACAATTGCATAGTTTGCATACACTTATGTTTTAATTTTTTCAGATTTTTTGTAAAATAAGCAAAAAGCTTAGTTATGATAATAATACTACTGATAATTTGGAAATTAAATTATGGGCACATGTAATAGTATTCGGAATAAACCAGGAACTTTTTAATATTAAAAAGTATATTTTGGTAAAACAAAATTATTTCTTTTAATTTTAATCTTTTCTATAATATTCAAACGAAAAATGTCTGTATCATTAAAAAGAAGAGTTTATTCATATACGTAACTTTTTGAAACTTTTCGAAAAAACAAGGTACGAAGGAAGTTTAAAAAAACTTGTAAATAATACATTATGAACTTAAAATACGCAAGGACAAACATATACAGAATTATTTTTGCATAAAATAACTGAATCAATTCTCTGTACTTGAAGAACGTAGATTAAATGTAAGACGATACTTGATATTTGAAAATTACAAACAAATAACAATAATTCTTTTACTTTTCTAGATCAAATAACTGTTTGTTTTTTCATATGTTATACTTCGTAAATATAATCTAAAAATATAGAAACAGGTAGAGCTGTATTTTATGTATTTACCAATGAATGAGTGTGTCCCTTTTAAATACAGTAGAGATATTATATATACATAAGCTTGTTGAATGAAAGTAGACGTATCACTAGTTAAACACTATGCGTACTATGTATACTATACACATAATAAACACAGTTGACACATCAGAAGTGAAATGAAAGTAATATAAAGTTGAACTTTAAAATTGTAATATTTTGGAATTAGGATGAAACAGTCCGTATACTCCTTTGTACAATTGAGAAACTACTGGCTTCAATAGAATTGCATTTTAGTAGATTTGGCGCATTGCATGTTACAGTGAAAGGTGTAGTAGCGTAAACGGTTCTCCATCGATACACTAAAATTAGAACACAACCTTGGGATCAATCATGAAGATATTAGACCATTGCACTCGTGACAATACAATGACATGTAAATAATATATGCGAAATAGTAAATACATTATCATGAACATGTAATACTGAAATTTTATGAAACTTTATATTCATCACTATTATATACACACTTATACAAATAGTGATGAATATATAGTTGATATAGTTTATATATATATAAGTATTAATACCAAATAGGGTGTAAAATACATAGTTACTGAGATATTAGCAAAAATATTTTTTTACATTGTATTCGAAAAGACCGTTAATCTCAGTAACTATGCTTTTTTAAGCAGAATTGTGTTTTTCAATGCATCAATCGATACGATTTATTAATCTATATGTAAAAATACTAAAAAGAATTAGAAGATATTCATTATTTAATATCTCCTAAACTTAACATGATTTGTTAAATATTTTTCTACATACCAATTATTAGAAAATGTATTCTAATAATTAGAAACGAATTAGAAAAATTTGTTTAAAAAATATTAATTGATTTTTATATGCCTCTACACATTCACCTACACAACACCAAATCACATCCTCTTTGATACCAGTCAAGGTTTGTTTGAAATATTTTCTCATATCGTAAGCAATTTTCAAGTAATCTAAGATCATAAAATTATTAGCTACTCTATTTAGAACACGTTGCCAGATATTTTAGTTATGAAAGTACCATCTCCTATTTTATCGTTAATAACATGATTTTACATTATATTTAACTAGGGAATGTAAACATGTTAACTATGTTTACATTGTACCAATATATACATTATAACATTATAATATGTTAATCATGTTTACATTGTACCAATATTTACATTATATTTAACTATGATAATATTTATATTATATTTAACTATGAAATGTAAACATGTTAACAAAGACCAAATAAGAACTGATGAAAGTTTTTCAAAAAAGGAAAAGGCTCTATAAGAATTTTCCAAGGGATCATTTGCGATTCATGTTTCTTTCGACAAGTTTAATCCTTGTAATAAATAGAATACGAGGTAAACAGCAAAAAATTTGATCTTGAAATTCAAGATCAAGATCAAGGTCAAGCTCAAGGTTAATTTTATTACAAATTATTTGTATATATATCTCTGTCAAATTGAGATAGAATCATGATATGATGGTCGTGACATATAATTTTGAAACTTTGTACAAAATTAACATCTTTTGCTTACAGTACGAATCAATATACAATGCCAAATACGTTGATACATTGTTGAGAAACATCAATGCAGAAGGAATTAATTTGTATTAATATTTGTCATAAGCGTTAACGGGCAAATTTATTATGTTTCAGATTCTGATTCTTTTCATAAGTTATTATTAGGGAAATTTTATCTCGATAGTACGTGACTATTATCTCGATAATATGTGACTGAATATGAATACTTATGTATAAAAAAGTTAAAGTGTGTTGGTTAAAAAAATATCTTAGCAATGTTCACAATTTCAATTTGTCATCTTTTTAAAAAATTCCATATGATAATGTTTCTACAATTTAAATCAAAATTTTTGTCCTTAAGATTATTTGAAGTTCATGATGTTGGGAGGTCGTTGTACTTGTATTGGCATCAATTACGTCGTAAAATCAAAAATACGTAGTGCTATTTAAAAAAATTGAAGTGTCTTTTTTATTGAAAGCAATATTTTTTGCAATTTGTAGCCGATGCAAAACTAAATTCTGTCTGAACGTTTTTTAATTATATTATCAAAATTTAAAAAATTGTATATACACAGTTACATGAATACTATAAAATTAAAATATCTTCTAAATTAATAATTTTTTGATATACTAAATTAATACCTTTTTTATAGAAAGTAAAAATCGAGCTGTATCGATTAATGCGTAAGGAAATATATGTTTTCATTTAAAAAGGTGGGATAACTTTACAATCTCTCCAACTGCAAGAAAAATTGGTATTACTCCGAAAATAACGGAGATATTCAAGTAATATAATTTTTATTGAACTATATAGTATTTACAGGTTTTGTCTTCATTAATTTCGCTTACATTAAAAATTTCATTTACATTTTTTTATAACAGATATATTAATAATAATTTGTTGACAATATTAAGTACATATATTATGCATAAAAATATTAAACACTGGTAAACACTAAATATTGTTAATTTAATAAACCATAATCAGCAGTATTCACAGGAAATACTATTTAATAAACCATAATCAGCAGTATTCACAGGAAATACTATGAATTAAAATATACATTTCATGTCATATCTACATATGCTTGCATGCATGCAAGTTTTATTTTTATTTAGATATGTAATTTATACAAATTATTTGTATGAGTATTTATGTAATTACATTGTACGTAATTACATTGTACATTACATACTATAAACAATTGCGTCATATATCATGTAAGTAAATAATTTTACCGCAATGGTTATGAATGATTATTGCACAATAGATAAAAAAAAAATTGTAATTGTTTAAGTCAATCTATCCTGCCTAGCATTTATAAAAGTTCAATTTTTCCGTTAATTTGAGGTTGCATCTTTTTGCTCTCGCAAGTTTAAATTCTGACGAGTTGTATTATCGAAGATAGACACGCCTGCGCCGTATCGATCCAAAATTGACGGTCTTGTCTCCTCTGAAACCAACCGCAGTGCCCAAGTACATATCGGTTCAATGAATTTATTACATTTAGAACATGGAAAATTGCCTCTCTAATAACAATGCGTTGCTTTGGTCGGAAGTTCCTAATCTGGTTAAGTTTAATGTTCCTCTTTATTCTGGTTGGTCGACTCTTGGTCAATCGTGGATTTTATTTACCAATACTGATCATTAGTACCAGCGATATCTTAATACCGAAAAGTTATTCAAGTTCTCAGCAAGATGTGCAAACAGGAGCATTTGCCTTCGCAGCGGGCATGTACATGGCGGGACTACAACCTAGGAACAGAAGTTTTTGCAGATGGTACCACGGCCTACCGAATATGCTTTCGTATCCGGCGTCCAAAGTCAGCTGGAGCCCTGAAATCGGTGAGAAGAGCCCCTACAGAGTTCTACCGTTCATATTACGCGGAACCGAGGAGAGGAACAAGCTGCCTCAGGTGACCCTCTGCACGCACGCCACTGCAGATCAGGTCTATGGAATTGTGGAATTAGCTCGGAGATGGGAAGGTCCATTAAGCCTGGCCGTTTTCACGCCTGGTCTCGACGCTAATATCGCCGTTGCTCTCCTCGATCGGGCCTGTCGATGTGAACCTGAAATGTACAAGGTTTCCCTATGCACTCGCTCTCAAAACGGGTCACAAGTAGTACGATTAAACCTCAAACATTATATGCATACCGCATGTGTGTTCATCTGTAAATCATATTTTGCATCAAATTTCCTTTCGTATCAATTAAATATTCAATGTACAATTGATGATACACGGTAATTTTCTATTGTCGCAATCAGAAATCATGTTTAAAGATGTTACATAGAAATTATATTCTTTAAAGTACGATGTAGGATTGAAAATTTGCTCGACTCTATATAGAAATTATATAAAATTAACAAAAGTAACTTGAATTATTTTGAAATAATCTCTGTAAAACACACGATATATGTGTAATGTATGTTTAACTAATATTTTCAAATTAATCGAACGTATATTACATCGTATATAATTTAAATACGAATTTAAATATAAATTTAAATACACGGAATCGCGTGTGTTATAATTTCAACGTGTACTCTTTTACAGGTTTCTGTACACCTGGTATTTCCGGCGGGTCGTCCACCAGCTTTAGAACAGATTATTCAAGTTCAGGGTGATTGTGCAGCGTCTGATCTTCAGAAAGGAGATGCAGAGACTGAAAGAAAGAAAAGAAGCATGATTTATCCTATTAATGTAGCCAGAAACGTAGCTAGAGTTCAAGCAAACTCTATTCGTGTTCTAGTAACCGATATCGAATTACTACCTAGCCAGAAATTAGCATCTGGTTTTATGGAAATCGTCCGTGAAAGGCCACCAAAATCCGGGATTATCTTTGTAGTACCAGTATTTGAAATAGAGTCGAACGAACTGCCGCCATTAACAAAAAAAGAGTTGCTTTTAGCAACGAAGGCTGGTTTAGCTGTATATTTTCATAGGTATAACTGGAATTACGTAAGAATGATTTTACAAAATTCATACTAGAGGATTACTTGTTATATACATAGAATTGCGAATTCCGAAGAAGATTTTACAGCAAAGTCCTGTTTTATAGATTTCTTTGCTCACATTGTCAAAGATTTCCTGGACTTGCTAGATGGTTAATTAGGCCTGATCCGGGTAAGGTCAAACCTCTTATTATTACGAAAAGGGAATATCCATATCACAGATGGGAACCTGTATTCATAGGGACGCAAAATGATCCCTTTTACGCTGAAGAAATGTCTTGGGAAGGCAGACAGGACAAAATGAGTCAGGTATTGGAAATATGATAATATTTAACAAGATAAAAGAAATGGAATTATGTTACAGAAAATTTTGGACACATAAGATTAATATGTGTTGTATTAATTTTTCAATATTTTTTTTATAGATGTTCGAGATGTGTCTTTTAAATTATCGACTAATTATACTCGACGGTGCCTTTTTAGTCCATACACCGGGTATTAAACGAAAAACAGCAAAAATCAACGCAGCAAAACAAGCATTTTTAAAGCCTCATGAAAGGAGAAACGCTCGTATCTACCAACGTATAATTAGACGTTTATTGAAACAATATCCTACTAATCGCAAATGCGCACATTAATATTTTTCGATAAGAGAAATCAGTATTCAGAGAGATTGCTTTTAATGCAAGACTAAAATAAACTAAGATATAGAAATAGCTACATATGTACATATATATGTTGTTTGTTTAATAATTTAATATCGTTGTCTGTACTACGATTTAATGTAAAAAATTGTTTTTATATTTATAAACGAATAGAAATTAACTAAAAAATATGTGCCTATATAAAATAGAAATATACAAAATGTAATAACAACTGTGAACAATGAATATGTATGTACACATATCACAATAGTAGTATCGAATTGATAATCATTAGTTATAATTACTAAACGAGTGTAGTATCACGCTGATAATTACAATGATACTACTATTGCGATATAGCAATTTGAGATTTAAACATCGAGAAATAAATAGATATATAAATATATTCTGCCAATTAAAAAGTTACTAAATTCATTTAACAAAAGAAATATAATTTAAGTTTCACATGAAAAACAGAATATCAATTTTTAATGTTACGTATATTATAAATCTTATATCTGTAAATATTAGAGATAAAAAGATATTTACATGCTCGTATTTTCTAAATTATCGAACAGAATTTTTGGATATTATACTGTTTTATAACGTATTATTATGCTGTTTTATCAAATAAAATCAGGCTAATATATTTTACTAACAATACTTTCTAATTCTTTGAAATTCTTTTTAATTTATTTCAATTTATTGAAATGAAAATTAATTTTATTAATTTTTATGATACAAGAATTATATAAATTTAAGATCAAGGTATTACTTCTTCTTCGTACGGCACTGAAGTAATGTGAAACTAAAATCGAGTACTTATTAATTTTTGATATTAAGAATTAAAATAGATTTCGATAGTTCCAAGAGAAATTAGTGATAAAATTTTATAAACAGTAATTTCACAATAACAATACAAGTAATTTGAAAATGTATATAAAATACAAATAATTTATAAAAATATTAAAGCTGTGGTAATTTTTTCAAATACTCATTTCTACTAATTTTTTTCAATAATCAATTATACTCATAATATTATTTTTCTGCAGAAATTAAATACGAGGTTATCCATGTTTGAAACATTTGTTATCAGAATGATTACATACACATCTAATGTGCGTGTAGTATTTGTGAATGATAGTTGCACAATGAAAATAGATATTGATTTTATCAGTAATCGAATTTAAATAAAAATTTAGGCTAGGTAATTAAAAAAAAAAGATAGATTATTTGTTTATTTCAGATCAAAAATAGAAAAAGAAGTCAAAAGGAAAAGTAAATTATACATGTTAGTATAGTACATGTATGTACCTATATACATACATTGAAGCTATAGGATCAGTCAGTCTTCGAGCGGTAGCCCGGTGGCGTGTAAGTATAGGAGGATAATTGAAGTTTGCTTTATTAAAGCAATCTAAAGTACCTATATATATTTTGTTTAATTATTTCGATTTAATAACATTTAATGATTATTTAACATTTAATCATTAATTGCAGGAGTTCTAATAATGGATATATTGAAGAATGTATCGTCGGCGTTTTGGTCAACTGATGTTTGGTTACCGCCTAATATAACGTGGGATGATATCAAACCAAATTCAGAGAACAAATATGCAGACTATCAACATTTAATTTATCCTTTGCCTATGGCATTTATTCTTTTGATAATCAGATATGCTCTAGAAAGGTAATCATTTTTTTGTTAATATATTCTTTACTTGTACTATGAAATCTTTATGAAATTTATAATTGAACTAAGGTTATATCGTAAGTAAATGTTTATATTCTACATTATTTGAAAGACTTTACTTAAGTGATTTATTAAATACTCAATGTAAAATAAATAAAGTAAAGTAATAAATACATAATTTTTCATATATTAGAATAATATTTCTGCTTATAGAAACATCACATGATACTATGCAAGGACATTCTAAGGTCTTGCATGTGAAGTGTCAGTTCAATTAATTAAAATTGTATGCTTTATCAATCTTTTTAGGTATTGCTTTGCGCCTATTGGTAAGTCTCTTGGTATAAAAAATACAAGAACAAAAAAAGCTGCACCAAATGAAATATTAGAAAAAGCCTATCGTAGTAGAAAAATTAAACATAAACAGGTAAGTTTATGTGATTTTAATTTTCTTTCCAATATTTCTTTAATAAAGTACTAACAAATAAAATTATTATAGAAATAATAACTATCTGAATAATAATTTAATGGATATTTTGTTACTATCTATTTTACTTGGTTAATATATAACAAAAAAAGTTGCTTATGATTATTTAACAAAAAATTATGGTAATTGTAGCATATCAGTGCTATTCTACAATACATAATGATATTAAAGAACAACGTTACATACATCAAAAATTTGTTCAATTCTAAATTGTATGTTTAATATTAGGTTCTTGAAACAGATTCGTGTAATCTAAGTCAAAGTAACTCAGAAATGTTATGGATTTTTTTGTAATATATGGATATATTTTAAGATCCTGGCACTGGCTAAACAATTAGATTGGTCTGAACGACAAGTAGAAAGATGGTTGCGATTAAGACGTACTCAGGATAAGCCATCAACACTTACAAAATTTTGTGAAAACAGGTTAGTCTTTCAAAATAAAATATTGAAAAATTTACTGCATATATATTTAGTTTCAAATATTTAATATAATTAATTCTTTTATTACAGCTGGCGATGTTTATATTATATATACTCATTTTTCTATGGACTCATTATTTTATGGAACAAGCCATGGTTATGGGATATAAATTATTGTTATTACAATTACCCATATCATCCAGTTTCAAATGATATATGGTGGTACTATATGATATCAATGGCATTTTACTGGTCTTTAAGTTTTTCTCAATTTTTTGATGTAAAAAGAAAAGATTTTTGGCAAATGTTTATTCACCATATAGCTACTATTGTATTAATGTGCTTTTCATGGGTTGGAAATTTAACTAGAATTGGCTCATTAGTGTTATTAGTACATGACTGTGCAGATATTTTTCTAGAAGTAAGTATAGCACGTTTAAATTGCTAATGTATAATATTACAAAAATAAATTAATAAGTATACAAACTGTATATATTACAGGCTGCAAAAATGGCTAAATATGCTAACTACCAAAAATTATGCGATTGTATATTCGTTATTTTCACAATATTGTGGATTATTACACGTATTGGTGTTTATCCATTTTGGATAATTTACAGGTACATATCAATTATCTTAATTTTTAATATGTTTCAATACAACTAAAATTTTTTCATGTTATATTAAATGTATATGTTATGTTACAGTACCTCGATAAAGGCACCTAAAATAGTACCTATGTTCCCAGCATATTATATTTTCAATTCTTTACTAATTTTATTATTATTCCTCCATATGATCTGGACATATTTAATTCTTAAAATCGCATATAACGCTTTCTATGCTGGTCAAGTAAGTTTTATATATTTTAATTAAATGTATTTATTTGACTTAATTTGATAAATTAAATGTAAAATATTTAAAATTAAAAATTTATACTTGCAATTTTTCAGATGGAAGGTGATATTCGTAGTAGCAGCAGTGAAGATATTTCAGATACCTCTATGGATAATACACCGCTAAATAATTCTACAAATTATATTACTAAACAAAATTCTAGACAAAAAGTTCACTAACAAATAACTTTTTAGAAAAAAGAAGTTATTGTAACAATAATAAGGCAAGAACTCAAACATTTAGCCAGGCGCTAATTAATTTCAGCGAATTTAATAAATCCTTGCATTTATCGTAGTATGATAATTAAAAACTTTAACTTTGATAAAGTTGATAAAAAGATTAATAATCTTTAAAATATTCACATTTTGTTTTTGTGTTCTTTATCAATAATTTAGTATTGCAAGGAAATCATTTAATTATTTTATACATAAAAAAAACCATTCATTATTTTAATATCATCAGGACTATATTAAGAATTATGCATTATTCTTTTATTAATTATACCATTTATTTATATATATTTTATTTAATAATTTAAGAAATCATTTTTCCTTTTTTTTAAAGTAAATTTATCAATTTATTTAGTCAAACAAATAATGGACCAAAGTTTAAACATTCAAGTATCTGTAATTTCTGAATTTTTTCAGTTTAGAATTTCATTATGTTTAATAATGTTTATTTATTCTTATATAATTTACAAATGTGAAATGATGTTTTAAACTTTTTGGATTAAGAAAATTAATAATAATATTTTAAATAAGTTTAAAAAATCTTTTTCTTGAATTAACCTTTCTTACTACAGTTTTCTGAGGATAATTAACATAATTGTTCTAATAGCGTTTCTTATATAAAAATAAATGTATTCTTCACTTTACTTCTGAAAATGTACATTGACATTTAGACGATAAAAATCAAAATATGAATAAAAATTTAAAAAATATATGTATTAATTTATTTATACAACAAACAAGATGAAAAATTTGTAAATAAATTTTCTTTCTAAAATCATTCAATTTCAATGCATAACCTGTATTATTTCTACATTTTTTTACTATTTTTCTTTACCGATTCTAATTTTTATGATCTAATTTGTAAATACAGATATAAATGCAAATTCTATAGAATAATAACAATAATATGTAAATAATTATATGTTACTAATTTTACAATTTTTTCTTAATTAAATATTATATATCAAGTAGAAAGATAATTATTTACTTTAGAGATTTTTTGACAGATTTCAAGGAACTTGTCAAAGTCATCATTCTAGACAATTTTTCCTTCGGCTGTAATTTCTGTGATATTTGCAAAAATATAATTTATACTTAACGTATTTTAAGATCATTAATATCAATGAATCGTATTTGATAATGTATACACGAAAAATAAAAATTTAAAATTGGCGCCAGTCATAGTAAATTATTCGCCATATTTAATAGGCAATTTCAATTTATAAAGCTACCACTCTTAAAAATTTGTTCATTGTATTTTGCAAAATTTTCTCCCTTTTGACCGGTAGCGATATTCGATGGACAAATTTATACACAAGGTCACCTTGAAGTGTTACTTAAATTCAAGTGAAATAGAAGGTCTCACTATACTTCGGTTCTATCGTTATTTTTTAAATATATTTAAAAAAATAAAAATATGGGAGGAAGATGGTCAAACATGGATCCTTCAGAAGTCGATGTTCCAGAAATAAATGCTTTATTAGAAAGAGATCCTTACTTAAAACCTTATGAACATGAGATTCGCAAAAGGTATTATATTTTTAAACATATGTGATTGTTTGATTTGAATATGTATATATTTTAAAATAATTAACTTAATTCAGAGTAAAATATATAAAGTAGCATTTAAACATTGTTATAATAAATTTTAAAATAATTCTCTTGTTAGGTATGCATTATTTAAAGATTATGTAGAAGAAATAGAAACTGGTGATCGTACTTTGGATAAATTTTCAAGAAGTTACAAAATTTTTGGAATTCATATAAATGAAGACAATAGTGTTACTGCAAGAGAATGGGCACCTGGTGCACAAGAATTATTTTTAACAGGGGATTTTAGTAAGTACTTTAGAATTATAACTGATACGTATAATATAATATAAATAATATAATAGATAACATAATATATTGGTAACGAACAAATTAAGTATTTAATTGACTAAAGTGAAGAATAAAAATAGAAAAATATTCAATTATCCTTAATTATATCACTGTATTTATTTTAAAAGATATGAAATATATTTATTTTTTGTTATAATTTTGATTTAAAAATGAAAGTAGAGCAAATACTAATTTGAAAAAATTTTATATATATTAATATATATTTAACATTACTAATAATAGTTTGTACATATATTATTTATATTTATATTTGTATAAAATAAAAAATAAATATAAAAAACAAATAGAAAAAAATAATCTAGAAATATTTTTTATAACATTCACTATATTCTATTAATAGAATTTTTATGTACAAGGTGAGTCGTGCAAGTGAAACAAATTGTTTCCTTTCTGGTTGAACTAAAATGAAAATAAATTATTAGAAGAAAAAGATGAATGATTTAAAAGAGACTAGATTTTAACTATATTCATTTTACAAGTACAATCAATGTACATCCTCTTTTGTGTAGGTTGAATAATTTTTCTATTCTACAAAACAAATACTAAGATAATATAATTGAAAATTTAATATAAAATCTTAATTTTGTAGAATATGAGATACAAAGAAAATAATAATAGAAATAAATACAGGAATACTATGTTATATCATTCTTTATTTTTCATATTAGATAAGTTCTACAAAATTAAATTTTTTTTTAAACTATTTAATTTTTAACTATGTTCTTTTAACACTTTTTTATATAGGATAAAGAGGTAATAATGCAATTGTAAAATGTATATGCATCGCACTTGCAAAAAAGAATATGGTTGTAAAAATATCCTTAATAATCATTCCTTTTTTTTTCTTTTAACATTTTCTTAAAATTTTCGACCAAAAAAGAAATGATTTGTTCTAGGTATTTTCAGGATTCACCTTATACAGTGTGTTCATTTAAAAATTTCCAGTTTAAAGAAAACAACGCTTTTTTGGAAAAAAAATGTTTAATATAAAAGTTTCATAGTTTCAAAGGGAAAGCACAACTGTCATATTTGCTTTTTATTTGTTACGTGTCCTCAAGATTATTTGAATTTTCTTTTTTCAAATGGAAAGATATACTTTTCTTTGCAGATTCTTATTCTGTGGTAAGAAAAAAGAAACTTCTGTATGAAAACTTTTTTTATAGGATCTTTGCTCTTAATCTTAAAAAGATATTTGATTAAACAGAAAAAGATAAGCAATACGAATGAAACTTGTTTAATTGTTCTGCTCATTTTTAAGATGATAAGGTGAAATCAGTAACAATTATACTTTTTAATGTTATATTTTTATTACATAATGAATCATAATGATATTCCACAATCGTTAGAAAAGGTTTTCAAAATGTTTATCTTGTGCTTGGCAATAGTACAATTTCTGTTCATTAAGGAAAATAAGAATAGAATTTGTACTATTACTTAGCACAAAATGAATATTTTGAAAATTTTTTCCAACTATTTGTATATTAAATAATATGTGAATTAATTTGTTTGCTTTGGCAATTCATAATTATCATATTCTTAAATAATAAGTGATATTATACTATAAAAAATGTATCAAACATAAAGATATTTTATATTTTTATTATCAGATAATTGGAATAAAACAGCAAATTCATATAAAAAATTAGATTATGGAAAATGGGAATTACATTTACCTCCTAATGCTGATGGTACTTGCCCTATAAAACATCTTTCAGAACTCAAAATAATTGTAAAAGATCATAATAATGGATTATTGGAAAGATTGAGTCCTTGGGCTACATATGTTACACAAAATCGTTCAGAAAGTGTTACATATAAACAACGTTTATGGTATCCACTACCTGAAAATGTATATAAGTATAGATAACTAATTTATATAATTAAAAGTTTACATTTTATTTTTAATTAATTTTATTTCACAGTAAACATTAAGATTTTAAAGTGACATATTTCTTTTAGGTTTACAAATTTAAACATCCCAAACCAAAAAAACCAGAAAGTCTCAGAATTTACGAATGTCATGTTGGTATTGCCACTCAAGAATTAAAAGTTGGCACATATTTAGAATTTGCAGAAAAAATAATTCCTCGTATTGTAAAACAAGGCTATAATACTATACAATTGATGGCTATTATGGAACATGCTTATTATGCAAGTTTTGGATATCAGGTGTGTATCTATAGATGAGAATTTAAAAAGATTTTTTTGTACGTGATTGTTGGATTTTATAATAATGTATTTAATTAAATTTAATAAGGTGACTTCATTTTATGCTGCCTCATCTCGTTATGGCACACCAGAAGAATTGAAACACTTAATAGATGTAGCCCATCAATATGGTTTATATGTCTTATTAGATATAGTGCATTCACATGCATCAAAGAATACATTAGATGGATTAAATATGTTCGATGGTACTGATGCTTGTTTCTTCCACACTGGTAATCGTGGTCAACACCCACTTTGGGACAGCAGACTTTTTAATTATGGAGAATACGAAGTGTTGCGATTTTTATTATCTAATTTACGTTGGTATATTGAAGAATATAATTTTGATGGATTTAGGTATTTACTTATTTATATTGGTTTATCGTATAAAATTTACATTATTTATATTATCATATTACTATGAAAAGATTTTATGAAAACATGTTCCATTTGATCTTGTTTACAAGATATACCAAATTTTGATTTCATTATGTATTCTACATACTCACATAATTTAATGGTCTAAATGCGAGCAATTTTCATATTTTTCTACATAAAATCACAGGCAAAATTTATATTTTATGTATAGATTTATTATAAGTAGACTGATTGCAATGCAAAAAAAAAGAGAAAAAATTAAAATAAGCAGAGAAAAACGAAAGAGTATCATCTTTTGAAATTAACAGAATAAGTACACAATTTCACTGTTATTTTGGAAGATTTTAGTCGTCCAACAAAAATTTATTTGGAGCTAGCAATCTTTATTTAAAATGTAGGAAAATTTTACGAAATTGAACAAAAATTTCAACAAATTTCAACAAAGAAATATTAGGAGATGTTGAAAAACCACATCAATGATTATACTTCTCTAAATATACATTAAATAAATATTTTGAGCATTTCCTGTGAAAGTTATTCAGGTAAAAAATGACAATACAAAACTTGGTATTGTAAATAACATTAAATAGAACATTGTTTTAAAATGTTGAATCAGTTCATAGAATCTTTCCCCTTATCATTAATAGTATGATAATAATATTTTATATTTTAATTTTTTTAGATTTGATGGAGTTACATCAATGTTATATCATTCAAGAGGATTTGGTCAAGGTTTTAGTGGCCATTATGAGGAGTATTATGGTCTTAATGTTGATGTTGAAGGTGTAGTATATTTAATGCTTGCAAATCATATGCTACATTATTTATATCCAGAAATCATTACGATAGCTGAAGATGTCAGTGGAATGCCTGGAGTTTGCAGGTATTACATATATAAAATGTTTTAAGATTGTCATGTTCAATAAATTTTTTTTTTCGTGCAAATTTATTTTAAATTAATTATTAATGTTTTTTCTATCAATATATTAAAGGCCAATCTCTGAAGGTGGTTTAGGATTTGATTATCGATTAGCTATGGCTATTCCTGATAAATGGATTAAACTTTTAAAAGAAGTAAAAGATGAAGATTGGAAAGTTGGAGATATTTGTTGGACATTAATGAATCGAAGATGGATGGAAAAAGCAGTAGCTTATTCAGAATCTCATGATCAGGCTCTTGTAGGTGATAAAACAATTGCATTTTGGCTGATGGACAAAGACATGTATACCCATATGAGTACAATGAGTCCACCTAACCCGATTATAAATCGCGGAATTGCTCTTCATAATCTCATTATGTTAATCACACATGCATTAGGAGGCGAAGCTTATTTAAATTTTATGGGTTAGTTTTAAGAATTATATTTTTGTAATTAAAATTTTTGATATTTTAGTTATAAACTTTTATAAATTTCTTAAATTGTTAGGTAATGAATTTGGACATCCTGAATGGTTGGATTTTCCACGAGCTGGTAACGCAGATAGTTACCATTATGCTAGGAGACAGTGGAATTTGGTAGACGATGAGTTACTAAAATACAAATTTATGAACAATTGGGATAGAGCTGTAAATACTCTTGAAGAAAAATATGGATGGCTACACGCTCAGCCTGTAAGATTTAAGTAAAAATATTTATATATATTGTATTGATTCCACTAATATGAACTTTTTATAGGCATATGTAAGTTGGAAACACGAAGAGGACAAAGTAATTGTTTTCGATCGAGCAGACCTTATATTTGTGTTTAATTTTCATCCAGTCAAATCATTTGCTGATTATACTATTGGAGTAAAAACTGCAGGAACTTACAAAATTCTCCTATGTAGTGATGACAAAGATTTTGGTGGAGAAAGCCGTGTTGATACTAATATACAACATTTTACCAAACCAGAACCATATTCTGATTATTCAAATAATATGATGATTTACATTCCTTGTCGCACAGCTATTATTTATATTCGAGGTAAATCATTATAACATTACTTGATGTTTGAATAATAATAATAATTCATATCAATTTCTTTATTTCAGAAACTTAAGTGCTTTTATTGTAAGTTTTTGTCTTATAGACATGGGCAAAAGAAGAATTGATTTTAGAATGCTATGTATAAATAAATATTATTTTTCCTACCAAAGTTTAGAAGAATATATAGCATTAAGTAAAAGAAAACTAAGTAGTACATATTTAATATATATAAAGTTTAAAACTTTGTAAAGAATTAATATCAAATTATTTAAAAAAGAAGTACAAATCAACATTCGTGATATTTTAAAATAGAAATTATCACCAGGAAAATAGAATATATCAAGAAAAATCATTTGTGATGAAAATATAATAATGTGATGAAAAATATTTTATGTTTTGATACCAACATAGTATATTTTTGATATCAAATTTTAATATTTGTTAATGTTTATAATAAAGCATTGTTTTAAAATTTGTGTACTAGTTATTTAAAGTATAGAATTGAATATTAATACATAGAATTATTTTGATTTTGAAGAAAATTAACAAAAATTAACTATTTGAATTTATGATATCAAAATTGTGTACATACAAATAATATAATAATATACAAATAATATAATAGTAGGTAAAAATAGCACTTTTATGTTCATTTGCATTTATTACAAATTCGCATTTTTCATTTTTTATAAATAACTTTTCCTAATCTTTAATAACACGCATGGTAGTAAAGTTAGTTTTAAATTTATTTTGAATTAGCTACTTTATTCATTTGTTACATTGCTAAATTCTGCTTCATTTACATCATAATCTTTCATTTTGTTTTCTAAAATCCACCATGTGTCCAAAAATCCAATATCTATTACTCTTTTATAAAATGTTAAATATCGTATTTTTAAGTAAGGACAAACAGTTTTATATGAAGAACACATTTTGTCATAATCATCTAACCAAATTAAAGAAATTATACCTAAATTCATCCGTCGTACAATTCCTTCATTGTAACATCGTCCTAACCATTCTACATAATTTTCACACATTGAATTACGTACAGTTTTTCCCACTTGCATTATTTTCATGGTATTTTGTAATAAATGTTCTTTGAAGGAACATTCATCTGGATTATGTTTGTGCAGGTACACACAAGATGCTAAAACTAATGAAACAAAGCTTTCAGTATGTAAAAAATATTAAGATCTTTAATAGAAATATGTATTAAAGAATCTTTTTTTTTATATTTAATCTGCACTTTCATTATTCTTCATGTTAAATCAATATTGTTGAAATGTTTATCTTTTGTTATTAAAATGTACATACGAGAAAAATAAATAGATGTTCTTACAGGATGTTCCTTACAATCTTTCGCAGCACCTAATGCTGATTCTTTATAATCTATATAAAGGTTCTTCCAATACTTCCCTGTAAAAATGATGATTTATTTCAATTAAGGTAAATTTATTTTTCTAAAATTTCCCTTCTATATGATATGACATCTCTACTCACCCCATCGTTGAAATAACGTTGTTTTCGTTATTGTTGACATTTTAAAATTTGCTGTGGGTTTCAAGACAACTTGTAACATATCAGTCTAGTTTTGTTACTTACGCCTGAAGTTATCTCTTTATTATCTCTCTAGATTTTATGTTAGGAAATTGTACATTTTTAAATTTTGAAGAATTAACAATTATTATTTTATGTGAAAAAAAAATTTTAGAAGTTGTATCTAGCATTTTGTAATAATTTCTAACTAAATTTTATTTATTACAAAACCAAGTGGAATTAGTAACGTTGAACCAATCGGAATTATAATTGATACAAAAATTACTACAAAGTAAATTTATGGTTTTGGGGATAATTGTAATTTGTTATTTCGAAATGAATATGCCATTATTTATAATTTGTAATGTTCTTCGAGTTAAAACACAAGTATAATCTTGATATTGTGATACTAAATATTTTAGAATTGAGGTTATCCATGCGATTAAAATAGAAATGAGGAAATATAGACAGATGTGTTTATTTTTAAATTTTTAAACTTAAGTATGTAGTATAAGTATTTCAATTTTAAAAAATATTTATTTTTTTTTATAATATTTTATTGATCTTTATTATCATCCTTCAATCCATAGTATTGTTTTGAATTCTTCAAATCATTTATATATACATATATGTATATGTACGTTTTATACACATATAATGTTTTATATATAATATTTTATACATATATAACGTTCTAGATTTTAACGAATTTTTCACAACAAAAATAAATTTTATAAGTTAGAATTCGAATATGTAATTATTAATTATAATGATAAAGATAAACGTCACAATATTTATTATGCAAAATAACATGTTTATAAGAAAATGTATCTAAATGATGTATCTAAATATTTTACATTTTCTTTATAATAATTTTATTATTATTTTAAAATTTTTTTATAGTACAAGATAGTCTCGTGAGATAGTCTCATACAAGATAGTTTCGAGAGATAGTCTCGTCTCGGTAGTCTAGATTGTAATAATAATTGTAATCTTGATTTTATAAAATTAGTATTAGTATAATTTTCAAAAGTTTTTAATTAAAAATAGCTTTATATAGTAAATTTACGTAATAAAATATTTATATGTAGAAAAGAAAGTGTTAAATTGATATATGTTTAATGTTAAAAACAATAAATTTTAATGGATTATTATATAAAAAAAGATATTCAAAAGGAAATGTTAAAAATGCAATTAAATAAACTCAGAAATATAATTAAGCGAAAAATTTAATCAAGTAGATTCTTACAAAACAGTTTACATTTTTCTGAATTACATATATGTATATATTATGTCTGATGTGTAAGTCTATTTAAATATATTAAGTCTGATGTATAAGTCTATTTGAATATATCTAAAATAAAACCAAAAATTCGTATAAACAGATATTAACCGTTTTTATTTGACATACTTAATTAATATACTTAAGTTATATATGGTTCTTTAATATTTATTCAAAATTATGTATTAAAATATGTATTCCTTTCTATTATTATATATATTTAATATTTCTTTTCTTAAGTTTTATGAACAAAAGCTACTTTTAAGGAAAGAAATATTGTCATTTAATTTAAATTTTAAGTATCAAATAAATCGTTATTAAAATATATATTAAATAATAACAGAGTAAATAAAATTGTTCTCTATTTTCGTCATTTGTAAGACAAATAGATTTAGTATTTTTATATCATCCATTTTTCGTTATAAAGACTTGTTAGAAAAAAATATAGATGTAATATATTATTTGTAAATATAATATTACACATAACGTTTATGACATTTTGTTGAACGCTTTGTTTAATGTAGTTGTTACGAAGACTAGGTGCAAAATTGTATATAGGTACCTAATTTTGATCGTTTACATCGCTATTATTAGCTGCTATTGGTGAAAAATGTTAAATATAATAAAAATTGAATGGTTTCGAGGATGACATATTTCGTGAATGGACGCACAAAGAACTTGTGAAAGTCAACTTTGATTTTTTAAATGGAATTATGTTTTTTAATGCATTGATCGGTGGAATTTGACATCCTTTATAAAAAAAAATGTATGTCGAAAAATTATTATTTTGGAAATATTTTAATTCTTTGTTTGACATATCATATGAAAGACAAGGCTGACATGAGCATCTACGTATTTCCTTGTTCTTCATATGATATTTTATACAAAGTTGCAATTAAAATTAATTTAATAACTTTTATAGAGTTATTATTATATTCGCAATATGCCTTACGTGTTCGCTCACGAGAAAATCAATAACATCAGAATGTTACATGTCCCAGTCGAAATCATTCAACTTTTGCCAAGAATAACATTTATTTTTTAATAATATTTCTAGAATATTTTCGCCAAGAATAACAACAGCGATATAAATCAAGGTGTCAAAAATTATATACCCTATATATTGAATAATTACAGTTTTTGTTACTGTTAATGGACAAATTTTTTTTATATAAATTCGAAATCTTGAAAATTCAATTTCTCACGATGCATACGTATATTTTGAAACGACTGAAATTCTCCATAATTTGACTGGTAAAATTTGTAAAAAGATCCTTTAATAATGTCTTCTTCTTCTTCTTCTTCATCTTTTTCTTCTTCTTTTTTACTTTTGTTCATTTCTCGCCCTTTGAAGCTCAATGCCTTTGCTTGTATACATATGTATATAGTCTGTCTTAACTGGATACGTATGTAAGTACTTACGCGTGTGTTACTCGGCAAGCAAGAGAACCCGTCGACGGGTTACTCACCGCGGGCGACGCTCCATCGATCGCGTCGCTTGCGAGGGGTGGAATCGTGGCCAGAGACATTGCCGAAGCGTGAGAGAGAATTGATACTAGAGCAGGAGAGAAGAGAGCAGCCGCGAGAGAAGGAGGAAGGGAGAGTGCAAAGGGGAAAAGAAAGACAGCGAGAGAGGAGAACAGTAGAGAAGCCGAACTCCTCTATGTCGACATTCAACTCTGCAATGTCGGCCCTTCGAGGGTGTATTTCATGGTAAAATGAGGGAAATGAGAAGCAACAAAGATAGATATACGTAAAAAGGAACGGAGCGTTGCAGACACGAAGAATGAAAAGAGAGGCAAAATGGAGGAAATAGACAAGATAGAAAAAAACAGATAGGGGCTAACGAAGAGCGTCACGGTGAGAGAGAAATCAGAAATTATAAAAGTCTATGAGAGAAAAGGATGAATGCTGGTTGAGGATATAAGATAGCCAGGAGAGGATTGAAAAAAGGAAAGAAACGTAAGATGGTGGAAGGGAAGAAAATATAATATTAAATAAAGGAATTTAAAGCGTTATTTTATAGGTACATGCCTTATCGGTATGCATAACGAATATAAATACAATACTGAATAAGATATAAATATTTGTTCATGTGATGAAGGTATTTTTTATTAATTTCAAATTCTTTTCATTTCCTCCATGTTATGTATATATACAGAGTGTTTATCTCATTCACAAAATGGAAATATCTTATAAGGAATTGAAATTATAAAAAAAATGTTCCTACAAAATTTATTTGATAAAAAGAGGCATATTATCTGATATTAATGATATTTCTTATCAGTATGCATAACGAACATAAATACAATACTGAATAAGATATAAATATTTGTTCATGTGATGAAGGTACTTTTTATTAATTTCAAATTCTTTTCATTTCCTCCATGTTATGTATATATACAGAGTGTTTATCTCATTCACAAAATGGAAATATCTTATAAGGAATTGAAATTATAAAAAATATGTTCCTACAAAATTTATTTGATAAAAAGAGGCATATTATCTGATATTAATGATATTTCTGTAGGTGGAATGGTGAAAGGGATTTTAAAGTTAAGTTGGTTTTTTCAAAAATTTTTGAAAGCAGTAATCGATTTATTTAAGCTTTTCTGTATAAGAAAGTATTAACTTATTTTTATCGAAAAGTGATCGAGTTAGGAGATATTTTCGTTTTAATTTTGTGAAAATTATTTATTGCGTGAAAAAACAAACGCAAGATAGGTTCTTTAGACAGGAAGACAAGTATGAATTTTAAGTTTCGGGGCTTCAATTTTAGGGTTCAAAGTCATTTATATAATAATACACGTTTGAATGTATTTTTTTCATGAGTTATGAGATGCAAAGAAAAAGATATGCAAAGAATTAAAAAAGATATTTTATTGAATGAGAATTAAATGTATATATGTATATCCTGTATATATGTATATTAATTTGTATATAAGTCATATATTATACAATATAATATAATATACTCATATTAATATTTGGACAAAATTAGATAACGAAAATTCAAGAAATCGCCAAATTTTCATATGTTCGTTTTTGCGTAATATTCAAAGTTCAATAAAATGAGGAAAAAAGATCATATCAAGTTTTATGAAGAGTATTCATTGTAAAGAGGAACTCCAATCTTTATATCCATTGTAGATTTAGTTGTGAAAAAAATTATTCAATGTTTCTACATGCTATGGCAATTCAGAAAAAAAAGTGTCTTCTCATCTTTCACGCGATGTAATATCTTAAAATAAAATGAATGTTATATTTTGAAAGTAGAAGCTGTGTGTACAAAATTGTAACAGTTTAAACATATAATGTTCGAATATTAACGTGAGTAACTATATCTATATATGTACGTATTTATAAAATAAATGTAAACTTGCAATTTCATTAATTAAATAGTTTACATCCTAATATAGACATTGCGTAATATCTGTAACTTAATATAAATTATTCATTTCCACATTATAATTTGACGTATTTATATTCATTTTAATATAATACAACTTTGCGTTGTACAGGATGCGTCATGAAACAGTTGAAACTCTGTTTTTCCTTGGATTCAAAAATCGTCAGAGATCATTCTACAATATGTAACTATATAATATTTGTCATACCGCAATTAGATATAAAGAAAATGAAGACTTGAGTCTCGTTTTTACATACTAAAAAAATTTATATTAAGGAAAATGAAAAGAATTAAGAATTTTCTTTCAAGAAGTCGGTATTTTATTCGTCATTACGTTTTGTTATGCAATGAATTCGTTTTTTCTTTGTACTGGAATAACATCACTATTATCGATAGAAATATGTTCTATGTTATTATTTTGTTCTTTAATTGTGTTAATGGATACATTTTATGGTTATATTTTACTACAAATCAGTTT